ATATATATATATATATATATTATATCTAGAAATTTGGAAGTGTATATAACAAAACAATTCATTTTAACCAATTAATCAGCAGAGGAAAAAACTGCTCATTATACAGTTATTAAATTACATAGTTCAGTATATAAAACCAATATCAGCCTTAATCATACATTATTAATTACCTTCCAATATTTCATATTATTCCACAACGAATTAAAGTGGGAACACAAAATTCATAGACACAGAAATCTCACAAGGTTATAGTAAAATATCTCTGGCAGCTTCATAACTGATGATTTCTTTAAAGAATTATGATTTAATGTGATATAATGGAAATCTTCAGAAAATTTAATTTGGCTAAATAAGAAAGATAGAGCTTCCACAAAATTCCCGTGAAGGTGGTACTATTACAAGGGGATTTACTGATCTTTCAGCTGGCTTAATTAAGCAGTAGAAACACCACAATCAGAGAGTTCAAGTTAAATTATACTTAACAAAACTACCTTCATGTCAAAAATATACTGACTGGCTGCAAAGGTCTTCATTCACTTTCAAAAGTAATGATAAATTTTAATAAATTTTGTGTTACTACATATTTGCACAAATGTTCATATTTACAATTTCCATTGATATGCTTTCCATATTTGATTCTGGATTAAGGGAAGTTTTTCTACAAAGAGGAAGAAGTTTCATTCTTACAAGGCATAGGAAATGAGTATCCCAGCAATTCCACAGGGCAGGTTTCCTGAAGAAGGACACTATATAGTCCTCATAAATGTTTACACCCACCCACAAGATTACACAGTGTCATAAACCGCAAGACCATAATATAGTCTTTCATACTTGACTAAGGATCTACAAAGCCTTGATGCAGAAACCAGAAACTTATCCTGTGACGTTTAAAGATGCATAGTTGCCTGAACAAATTTAAAGATAATGATCTAAATTTCTATAGAATATATACATTTCCTCTCTTTTGTCATGACTGTGCAGAGAAACTAATTGAGAAAGATGGTGTGGAGTGGTGTGCTGATGTGCTGGACAAGTTTGTTTTGGCTGAGCAGTCAGTGGAAATTGGAGAGACTGTGGTACGCCGGTATACTCCAGCCTGTCCTTCCCAGAAGTCCATTGTTATTAACATCTATAGTGCTGACTCTGATGATGCGCAAGTAAGAAACTTGGATATATGAAAGATGCAGCTGTATGCATTTTTGTAGGCTTAAATATCTCTGATATATCATGAGAAAGGAATGACCCAACTGAGCTCCTGTCTACGGTGAGAGGAGGAGTAAACATGTCAGTCACATTAGTTAGTGTAACAAGATGAGCCATAATGTATTCTCTAATTACAGATAGTTTTCAGTTTTGAGCTGGAGAGAACTAGAGAATGGCTATTTGAAATCAATGGGAAATTGAAAATATTGATAGAAGAATAAGACCCTTTTTATGTAATAAATTTTTTTTTTCCTAAAGACTACAAATACAACTCAGAATGGAATTATTTAGATGGAAGAGTAACATTTAAATGTTCTTTATACAAATATCGATTTACCTCCTAAATATTTTCATTGTTATTCCAGAATAACTTATAAGCACTGTCTCACATATTAAGGAATTCTGGAGAAGGGGGGGGGGGGTGAGAGTGAGTGAACGAGCGAGCTTGCACACACTTGTGAACCTGATATTTTTAGACTTTGCATTAATAAACAAATTTATATCTAATTTATAATGATGTATACACTATGTAAGTGAAAATATTAACAGTCTTGATGGAAAAGTTACAACATTACCAAGTTTCATAGACTGCTAAAATGAAGAAAGGCATTTCCCAGCAGAGATGGAGTTTCATTTAACATGTCTCTTTTTGTTCATTTTCTAGTACAGCAACCCCTCACTATCTGCAGTTTCACCAACTGCATATTTTAAGTACTTATGGTTTTCCACCTGTGTATAGTTTTGCCAAGTGCAACATTTGCTTCATGTACCTTAAGATATTATATTTAAGCATCCTGTTGCATTATACACTTCTATATGTAATAATACAAATGCCATCGTGAATGCAACAATTTATTTGGTTGTAGTTCTTTGTCTTTTCTTCCTCTACACTACTTGTTTCGGCCATAACTGGCCATCATCAGGTGTATTTTTCACTACGTAGCTGTCACACTGCACACAATCCAAAATCTAAAACACCAGCCTGTCAGTTTTGTTTAAAATCTTGCCAACATATGCGCATCAATTTGATTTTAGAATTCCAATTTAAAATTTAATTTTTCTTAATTTAAAATTCAAAATTTAAAGTTTTAAATCACAGGGATACCTGCTCTGTGTCTACATGTGCTGCAGCGGCTATTTCTTGTTTCCAGCACCGTTCATTTATTGTTCTGTGCAGGCTCCCTGTGTGTGTGTCACTGCTCATCTTTAATACATTTTCAGTNGATGAGCAGCGACACACACACAGGGAGCCTGCACAGAACAATACATGAACGGTGCTGGAAACAAGAAATAGCTGCTGCAGCACATGTAGACACAGAGCAGGTATCCCTGTGATTTAAAACTTTAAATTTTGAATTTTAAATTAAGAAAAATTAAATTTTAAATTGGAATTCTAAAATCAAATTGATGCGCATATGTTGGCAAGATTTTAAACAAAACTGACAGGCTGGTGTTTTAGATTTCGGATTGTGTGCAGTGTGACAGCTACATAGTGAACAATACACCTGATGATGGCCAGTTACGGCCGAAACATGTAGTGTAGAGGAAGAAAAGACAAAGAACTACAACCAAATAAATTGTTGCATTCCTCAAAAAAGTACTGCGATTGTGAAAAAAATTGGGCCCAAATATTTAATTGATTTTAACCAGGCTGTTAAACATACTTTCAACATATGTGTGTATTCTGTTCTAGTTCATCACTGATCAAGGAGTTCATCGCTGTGGAACTCTGAGACTTGACATACCTGATGTGAATGACAACCATAACAGTGATAAATGTCGGGAAATTCATACACGTATGGTGTTTGGGGGAACAGAAGTGACTGCTAGTGCACTTGATATAGCAACAGGACACACAGTGCATGCAGAGATGGACTTTCTTACTATAGCCAGTGATACCGAAATATAAACTTTAGTTATCTGCAGAATTCTGACTGTCTGTTGGTCATGATCCTTATGATGTTCCACAGTTTTGTTCAGGTACAAATTACTGTGTCTATCCTATAGACTTCTTAATCATATGACTAGAACAATTGTTATGGATGTATATGGCAATGGACTCCTGTTTCAAAGGTGTCAGGTTTGAGACTAGTTGGGTTCAGTGAAATTTTTCTTCATACCTTGCCTTTTCTCTCAACTCAAGAACATCTGTGAATGTCTTAAGTGCGGTTTGAAAGATATGTTACGGTTTATGTCTCCTCTGCTGGATCATCGTCTTTAGTGCTCTCCTGTCAGGAATAATTTGAACCCTTTTCTATGACTGCCCACATCCTAAAAACTGATTACTTCAATCTTGCCAGAATGATAGAGGCCAAAAGGGAAGACAGACCATAGAAATAAAAAATAAAAACATATACACAAAAAGTAGTTCAGTGTTAAGTCAAGGGCAGCAAAGATTTCTGGGCACACTTCTAAACAATTCTTCTTTTCGAAAAATCATGGGAATATGTTCTAGACTATATTCATTAATTAATTAAAGCATCAAATACCTTTTTGAGGAAAAGAAGATGTGAAACAGTGTACCTAAATGATCACACGGGACTGAATATCAGGCCTTCTGAACATCAATGTAATAGAAGCTGTTACACCTGTTTAACATATCTGTATATAAAAGAGGCTCTTCTATACAACAGAGAGAGCAGAGCCACAAAATGTTCACTCACAACATGGAGACCATTCATTTAATACTGCTATAAACATTACAAACTTGTGAAGCTGTAACACTAATCTGGAATTTAATTTACTGAAAATTTTGAAATAGCGGAAGCCAATAATGGTTATGAAAAATTAAGGTAAAACTGTGGAGGCCCATAGGGTTGTGAGATGTTGAGGCTCCCACATTTTCTAGACAATCGACTATAGATGGTGGTCAAACTGTTAGCCTTAAATGCCAGCTGCCCTTCATCCCACTGGATGATTCCAGGTACTAATTTCTGTTAGAGGCTGAGTTGCTCCTAGGGCCACAGTGTGACTGGAAAGATTAGGTCAGTTGTAAAATCCAATGACCTCATCAGGAACCTAACCCACAACCTTCTGGCTTGTAGCATAATGCCTCAACCAACTATACTACAGCATGCCTTCTGGCTATGAAAAATTAAATATATTTATTTGCATTTTATACTCCAAATTACCTCCATAATGGTTCCTTCTAAGTTATAAAACACTCTGTTTAACAAATAAATAGTCATGCTCAGATTTTACTTACAGGTACTCATCAATTCATGCAGCAGGTGGGTTCCAAAAAAGTTGTAGAGGGTGAAAATGCATAAATCCAACATAAGACAATATGTTTACTGACTCTTTCCTTATCCTCTCAGGAAATGAATGCAGTAGATGTACAAAAGAGGCTGCACAGCTGAGCCAAATTTTCAGTTCTGTCCTCATGCTCCCCCTCTGCCAGCTGCATAATGCTCTACTCATTTGTCTCCCTGACTCTATTGGCCAGCATGAAATTTGTACTGAAGCAAGTAATATTAATTGAAATCGCTTTAATTACTTAAGCCCACTAAAATAATTTCACACTTTTGGAACTCATTATTTGTCAATAAAAGCTGTATACATATAGTACAACATAATACACACTGTGCCATTGAAATGTTAATACATTAATTTTGAATGTATGGAGAGCCTTGAGAGAAAATTGTATATATAATGGCAGTCAATGTTTATGGTCACAAAGGACATTATTACTCTCAGTGGCTGACAGATGACTTTAATTGTCAGCCTTGATGCTGCATTCAATAACACATGTAGATACATTACATACTTTATGATTATAAATACTTTGAGTGAAACTTAATGAGCTGTTCAACTTTGCAAGTGTTATGTTTCTGGACATTATCCACCATCCTGTTTTTATTTAAAAATACAATGTTTTAGAGATTGGATTCTGTCTCCGTTTTCAGGTAAAATCTATTCAGTTGGACCCAAACAACAAATGAAAACTAGAAAGGTCAGAGATGCCCAGGAGATGAAGCAGTGTGTGTACAACATCCCATGTGATTGTTGTAGATGCTACAACAGAAAAACAAGCAAACCTTTAAAAGTATGCATTAAGGAGCACAAATGTAACCTGACATAGGGTCTGCTTGAAAAATCAAAATTAGCCCAACATCCATATGAAGAAGGTCACAGAATTTGTTGGAATAAAGCTAAGGTGGTACAGTCAGGAACAACATGTCTTTAAATAACAACAAAATGATAGATAATGTCCAGAAACATAATACTTGTATTAATGTACCATCATCACAAACTTTTAGATCCTGTTTTAACTTTCTTTTTTGAGAGGGAGAGAGGGAGGAAGGAAAGAAGGGGGAAGGATTGACTATAGATTGGTCAAATAAAAGGGATAGGAAAGATACTCAGGAGAAAGGAGGAACAGCAATGAAAGTGTGAAAGGTATATAGGAAGGTAAGAAAGGGAGTGAGGAATGATGGAATGAAAAGAATAATTTTTCTGAAGAGACTTAAGATGTGAATGTGCTAGAAAGTCAGATCCAGTTAACACAATAACCTGAGATTCTTAAGTATGTATTATTGTGATCTCATCCTCTGTTCAGAGTTTAAAACCTAGTGTTATAATTAAAATGTAATTCATCTGTAACCAGTAAAAAATGACGAGACTTTCCATTGCATTTGCATGGACATTATACTGGTGTATTACAATAAAGAAACAGTCTGATGCGTTATCAATGAAGATGAGAGATGGCATATGTACAAGTACAGTAAGCACTTAACCTAGATTATATTTTACTGAGGGACATACATACCAAATAAAATTTGCTGATCCTAGTAGCTGCATGGTAAAATGCATCCATCTTCTTCTGGAATCATGGATTTAATTGCCACTCAGGGTTTTAAGGTTTGCTTACACTTTTCTCAATTTCTTCTGATTGCAGAGAATTTGTGATGCTTGTCTAAGGACTCCAATTGCATGTTCAAGAGACCCTCTGCCATAGATACATGTTTAATACACCAAAGCTTAACTCCTGAACATATAAAGCAATCAAACAAAGTGCAAAATATGTGTACAGAGTACCCATAACATAAGCAGATTTTCTGTTGGCTGTTCTGCTGACAAATTATGTGGCTTTTATGAAGAGTTCAGCTTCTGAGTTCACACTTGATTCAGCTACCGGGGTTAGCTGTTCCAGTATTTGATTCCTTCTGTCTCCACACTGCATTTCATTAACTGCCTTAACAAACTTTTCTTTTAAGTCATTGCCATCTGACATGCTCAATCAATTATTGACTACTTTCCAAATCCTTATGTCTTCACACATCCACATTTGATACAACCCATATACAATATAGCTGTTCATGGTAGCTGAGCGGTCTAAGGCATGTAATGTCTTCGATCGCTCAGAAGTCAGGATCATGGTTTCAAATCCCACACGAGGCATGGATTTTTGGTGTGTGTATGCATTTATTCTGTGTTTGTGTTATCCTGTGTTTAGTTAGAGGCCTTGCGACAGGGTGATCACCAGTCGAAGGAGTCCTACCGTCTGTAAAAATGATCAATGATACTGAGAAATCAGCCCTATGCTCCAAAAGTGGGAGTGAAAGAGGAAGAAAAAAATATATATATAATATGCAGGTTCATGCCATATGTCAGGTGGTTAGCACTGATTTCTCACTGTGTAGCCTTAGATTTGATCCCCTAGGAATCCACAACTGGACTCAAACAGGCAAAAGGATTTATATCAGGACCCTCTGCCAAAAGAAGGATGGACATGTTAAAATTAAACAGAGACCAACTAAGATGGGTGGTAGGATTACTTACTGGACACTGCCACCTAAAAGGGCACCTTTTCAAACTGGGACTGACAGATGACCCAACTTGTGAAAGGTGCCTACAAGAAGATGAATCAGCCACACACATCTTATGTGATTTTGAGGCTATATCTCATCTATCACCACCTGGGTCAATTCTTCATGGAACCACGTGACTTTTATGATGCCCCCATAAATAAAGTCCTACATTTAATTCAAAGTGTAGGATTAACAAAGGGTTAATTGAATGGGGAAGCACAATAGATCATTGAAGGTCACAGTGTGAGGGCTGGTTTTTATAGCTCACCCCTCATACTCATACTCATAGATTTGATCCCAGGTGACTTTATCTGATTTATGGCAGACAGTGGCACTGGAGCAGGTTTCCCTGAAGCGTATATTTGGTGCTCCCTTGCTAATTATCATTCTACCATGGCTCCTCACTAGCCTATTACCAATCCCTGAGGTACACGGTAGCCCAGACCAAACAGTTCATTATCACATTCTTTGTCTTTAAACTGGTGGCCTCATCACTGGCCTGGCTCTTGACAGATTACCTATGGTTAATACAGCATTATTAAATAATCCAAGAATCAATTTCCTCCTCATACATTTCTACATCCACAAAAATGTTGCATTAGGACACTCCTATTTAACAGGAGAGTAAAAATATAAGAACTAAATTTCATTTCATTTCCTCAGGGACATGAAAAGGGGAAGGATTATTGTCCATCACTGTCCATATCTGCAGAATACAGTGTAACATGTCAAAATTCCTCCAATATCTGAACACCTAGTTAAAGTTTCAAGTGACAACTCTTCTGACTTGTGTTTTGGTATGTGCCAGGATTCATATCTCAGTTGGTACATAAACTAAGCCTGAGGATTTTTGGGATTTCCTCTGTTCCACAAGGTAAATGTTGGGACAATGCCTCAAATCAGATCATAATCATTCCCTTCTATATGTTTTTCCAATTCAGCATTACTGGTCATCCTACCATTTAACACTTCTGTCTTAGTTATTTAACTTATGTTGAATCACTAAAGTTTAAGTGTTAAATGGCATTTATCGTAGGAGCTAGGACAGCTCAGTTGGTATACTGACAAGCTACAGGCTGGACTGCTGAGGTTCAATTCCCGGCAGGTGCAAGAGATGTTTCTCTACTCCACAGTGCCCAGATGAGCCATGAGGCCCACACAACCTCCGGTCCAGTGGATATTGGGCGCTGATTTCCCGAGGCAAAGCGGCTGGGCTGTGGAGCTAACCACTCTCTTCCACCTACTGTCAAGGTCAAAAATGAAGCTATACCTTCACTCCCTGACACGTGTTCATGGCGTGGTGCTTAATTAAGTACAGGGGCAGCTATACTTCATGCATGCTACATCTCACCCATCACGTATCTCCTGGCCTGAAGATGCAGCCAACAGGTTCCTCAGGAACGCTGGTACCTATGTACCAAATTGCACATCTCCAAAGACCTCAATCTTTGGCTGCTACAGCTGCTTTCCTCGTTCCTGTCACTCCATTCAGTCACTTGCACATATATTTTTTTGTTTGTGTGTTGTATAAATAAATTGATGTTTCGTTAACGTCCTTAAACAATTCAATGTATTTTTAAATGCCTTTGGTATCCTTTATGGGTCCATCGTTTCCTTCGTCTTTGAGCATATAAAAATGATTACCTTAACATCTCAGAGTTCATCGTATTTTATATTCACGTTGGAGTCGATGTAATTTCTTCCACGGTTCGGCTCGGAGGTTGTTCCGGCGCATTTGGTCCGTGTGACATAGCGATGTCAATAGCTTGCTCATGCCTGTGGAGAGTAAAGAAGTGGAAATTTTCTGGAAGACATGCAGAGATATTTCGTGGGTGTTTAATCCCTACACGTGATTATCTGTGCCCCGTTAAATTGCCAAGGCCACGATTAAACAGTTTTGGGCCGACGAGTCAAGTGCATCAGAGAATTATGTCACCAGTTGAATATGCAAAAAAAGTTGCTGCCGTTAAAGCAGTTGATGAGCATGTAAAGGTAATAAAGTTTGCCGAATCATTTTGTCACGTTTCATCTTTAATTGGTATCACGAGATATACTGCAGTTTTTTTTTGCTATATAAGCACATGAAGGAACGTGGTGACGATACGTATAACCTCAAACTGTGTGTGGTGTATTTATTCGGGCTGTGAATGGAACATGAATTATTTTATTTGTGTTCAGTATAATTTTACTGTTTTAATATTAGCATGCTTTATACTAATTATAGCCTACGTCTAAGCGGTCTCACATTTCTACACCTGCATTGCAGAACTGAAATGCAGGCATCAACCGTTTGTTTAACCGAAAAACTGAAATATTTGAGGTTCTCATGGGTGTTAGGTAAAAATTATGGTTTCCTGGATGTGATTTCGTTTGTGGTAGGTAGGTACCAACATTTCGGAGAAACCAGCTGCTTCCTTGTTCAGTGAGGCAGACGAGGAATGCATATAGGATATTGTTGGGAAAGCCAAAAGGAAAGAGACCACTAGGAAGGCCAGGATGTAGGTGGGTGGGCAGTATTAAAATGGGTCATAGAGAGATAGGATGGGATGCATTGGATTGATCTGACTCAGGACAGGGACAAGTGGAGGGCTCTTCTGAACACGGTATTGAACCTTCGGGTTCCATAAAATGCTGGGAAATTCTTGAGTAGCTGCAGATTTGGCATCTTCTCAAGAAGGGCTCAGCTCCATAAGTAAGTAAGTAAGATAATATTTCATAACATGCAAAAAGGATGTGAAATATGTACATTTCCTGAAATTTATACTGTTGTCCTTGATTCATTTTTTGTGATAACACTGCTCATATCATAGCAGACATCAAAGGTTGTCCATAATCAACAATTTAAGCTGTGCCAGAGTGTTTTTCATACTTTTTAAGGAACCACAAAATTTTGTGATCACTGGAAGACTCTTCAGCTGAAGGTTTTACATTTTTCCAGATGTGTTCTCAGGAATTAACTGATGTCAATTAAATTATAGAATAATTGACACCATCCAGTGTGGTTCAATTTGAAGATATTTGTTGCCTTTACGTGTTTCGGTCAGCTGACCATCTTCAGAAGGCATAAGATGAACCTGTTCAGGAACTTCTATTACAATGTTCATCATACATACAAGCAAAAAAGCAAACTCCGTGATTTCAGTCTGCAAGCAAACTGTACCGACTGAGCGACTGCCATTTCTTGGCGAAGTTTAGTGCCAGCTTTTGTAGATAGAGGGTGTCGTGTGGTCAGTGCAACGAATCCCCATGGCCTTTAATTTCGGTTTTCTAGACCGGAGCCACTATTTCCTTGAAATAGCTCCTCAATTATCATCATGAGGTTAATTAGACCCCGTTCCAGACCCAATACTTCTCCGAAAACAATCTGGTAGGGCCGGGATTCAAACCCGGACCTCTGGACCTGTAGCCAGGAACGCTGACCACTAGACCACAGAGGTAGTCTCATCAATCATCATCATACATACATAGAAGTTTTATATAAAAAGTTATTTACAATTATTTGGATTAAAATCTAATTTATGTATAATATTTAAGATCTTGAACCAATATGGTTTGTGTCCTTATGCCTCTTCTGTTAAAATGGAAAGTTGGGGTATTATTTCAAGTCTTCAGAGATTCTTGCAGTGATGCCACCATTTTTTAGCTTGCTGTGGTTCTGTATCATTGTGGTGTATAGTTCTTTCTGTTTTGCTGTGTTTTGAGGCACAATAGTTGTAAATAACATATAAAATTTTTAAGTATGTATTACTAACTTTGTAATAATAGTTCTAGAACAAGTTGATCTTATGCCTTTTCAAGATGATCAGCTGACCGAAACATGTAAAGGCAATAAATATCTACAAATTTAATCACTCTATATGGTGTCAACAATTATTGTATAATTCAGTTTACTAGTGTGATCTACCAGAATGAATAAAATTAAGCTAACTAATGTCAACTTTACTGCTACTGTAATTTCAACTGAACTCTTTGAAATTGGAGATTATAATCAAAATTTAGACTTGTACGCTTGTCTCCATTGTACCTGGCTGAGGTTTTTGGTGTTGCATTGTCCCATGTTTGCTGTTCATTAATTTTTTTTTGTGAGAGTCCTTCCTGTAAGTTTGCCTACTAAAAATGGCCACTACAGCAGCTATCCTTCCTATAAAAATTAGACATGAATGAGACTTGAATGTTAATTAAGCAGATTCTTTGCTAAATTGCTTTCACATTTAAAGTATGTGTGTCTCAACAGAATAACTACGTAATTGGTGTTGGAAGTGGATCTACAATTGTGTATGCTGTTGAGAGGTTAGGTGAGTACTGGAGACTGTAATCATATTTGTAATGTTGATGAAAACTAATATTACAAAATTAAATTAAAATTAATCTTGTATTTATATACAGATTAATATAAAGTTGAGGCTAATTTTATTTTGCAGCACAGAGAGTGAAAGATGAAAACCTTTGTATTGTTTGTGTTCCAACATCATACCAAGCAAGACAGCTCATTGTGGACCACAAGCTTCAGCTGGGAGATCTGAATATATATCCCAAGGTACAGTTGCCCCCACTGCAGTTGGTTATTAGAGCTTATACTGACATTTGAGAACAGAACTCGAAGGAAGATATTTAAATCAAAGAAGCATGAATCAAAGAGGATTGGAGAAACTTACAATTACATAGTGATAAGTGATGAGCATATCTTGTTCTCTTTACCTGCAATTTTGAAGGAAAAGCTGTTCTTGTGCTTAAGTAAGCACTGGATCATGAAGGCATGCGAAGAGAGGGAGCATAGGTCTATGCATTCCTACCCTTGGCACCAGATGGGTAGTCATCTTCATGCACAGGCTGCTTTACCCTGGGTAACTGTTGGAGAGGGGTCTGGGGGGATTGTGCTTCTGACCTGGAGGCAGTAGCAAATAGGTCTGTGCTGCTGCTGACAATCAAACCCGGTTGTCCAGCCACTAGTGGGTGCTGAATAAGTAGATGTATGAGTGCAGACTAAATAGGATAGGTCTGAATGGCAGGCTTTTCTGAATATGCTGATAAACTTTTGGGTTTCATAAGAAACGGAATTTCTTGAACAGCTGATTAATGACAGCTGCCAAAACATTTGGACATTTATTTACCAGGAAATGCAGCGAACTGCCAGTGTACTATTAAAGTGCCGGGCTGGGAGGTAAGCCAGCAGTGGAGTGTCTGGCAGTGGAAGTGTTACACAGCAGATATGGTAAATACTTTCTCTAATAGCAGCACCCCAAAGCTGTTGACAATTTAAGGAATTGAGTTGGAAATTGAACTACTTTTATTCATCAGACATGGAATAACTAACAGGCAGCAAGGGAAGAATAATGCCTGGATGTTCGCTAAAGAGCAGGAATTTCTTTTTGGTGATATACAAGGGCTGTTCAGAAAGTTAAAAGACCGTACAAAACAAGAAATGAGAAAAAAATTGTATATACAGAGAATAAATACATACATACATACATACATACATACATACTTAGGCTACTTCGCAACGTATTCACTGCCAGAATTGAGGCACTTGCTATATCAGGGAATAAGTTTTTGTATGTCTGTGTCAAAGAAGTGAGCTCAGCCATGATTTGTATTGTGAAACACTAAATAACTGTGTAGGGCCATTCAGAACAAAAGGTATCAAATGCTGACATCCGGTGTAGTGTTCCTCCAGGACAGAACCTGTCTGCATACAGCTGCTTGCACTCTAGCAGTGCTGGAGTATTTCAGCTGGGAGTTGTTTGACCACCCTCCTTACAGCTCTGATCTCGCTCCAAGCACCTGTTTGACCTGAAGATCTGGTTGGGACCACAGCAGCTCAGCAATAATGTGTTGATGGAAGGTGTCAAAACATGGCTGAGCTCACAAACAGCAGACTTCTTTGACACAGGCATACAAAAACTTATTCCCCAATATAAGTACCTCAATTCCAGCGGTGACTATGTCGAGAAGTAGCTTAAGTATGAATGAATTTTTTGTATATAACAGCATTTTCTTTCTCATTGCTTCTTTTGTTAACAGCACACTGGAGTTTTTTTTGGTATTGCCGTTGTAAATTGATTTTTAATAGGAGCTAGGATAGCTCAGTCAGTATAGTGATTAGACTGTGTGCTGGAAGACTGGAGTTAAATTCCTGGCAGGTACAAGAGAAATTTCCCTCTTCTCCATAGCAACTAGACCAGCTCTGGGGCCTACTCTTCCTCCTATCTGATGGGTACTGGATGCATTAACCCTGGAGGTAAAAAGTGACAGGGGCATGAAGGTGACGAGTTCCAGCTAGTGCCAGGGTTGAATGGTGCAGCTATACCTCCACTTCCCCATATGCCTTCATGGCCTAATGCTTAATTATATAATTAAATGTTTCATATCACTTACTTGCTGTACCTTATGTGGAGGCAATGAAAGTGACACAGTGTATTTTCATGTTTGAAGCTTGATTGTGCCATTGACGGTGCAGATGAAGTGGATGACAATATGACACTCATCAAGGGAGGAGGAGGATGCCTCACGCAAGAAAAGATTGTAGCATCTTGTGCAAAGCAGCTTATTATTATTGGAGATGAATCGTAAGGCATTCCTGTTAAATAATGGTGCAGTAAGCATAATACGCTACATTTCATAAGTCATGTAGGAGTTATTTAGTCCTGCAGCTGTTTGTACACTTACACAGTTTACTAGTTGAATACCTGATAAGTGGTTTTTCCAAAACTAGGAATCTTTAAGTTTTCACAGTATTTGTATACTGACAACTTTACCAGCTGTCATTTTAATTTTAATATAAGTGAACATGAAGTGGAGGACCCAGACAGATACATTTCAATCCTCCTATTTTACTTTTCATTCCTCTTTGTTTTGTGATGTTTATCCAGCGTTCCTCACACTTCATTTGCCCGCCACACCATGAAACATTTATATAATTACTATTATACTATCATTTTCTGCTGTTCTGCAAATGTCTTCAAAAATATGTCAAGGTTTGTTGCATCGTTGAGAACGATGAAATGAGGTAAATTCAATAAAATCGATACTGAAAGAGGAAATGGAAATATTCAATAAATTTAGAAGGGTATTGACTGGAAAAGAAACTGATCAGTAATGAAAGATTTATCAGGTTGTTAAATTACAAACCAGAGGGCTATGGAGATGCAGGAAGACTGAAAACAGGACACCAAGAATTACCACAAAGACAAGAGGCAAAAGGAGAAAATAATTTGTAAATTTACCTAAATACTTCTCTGTGCGTTGTTTTCTGGTGACCAATTTCTCCTTTTTGTCAGTTGTATACAAACAAATACCTCTGTGAGATGCTGTTGGATCCTCCTCTTTCTCTTCAAGGCTGAAAACATTAATCTTCTGTTTGAAAAGAAAGGCTTGTTTATGTCAGAACTGTATGCAGCGTGGAGTTCTGGGTATAAAGCCTACTTTTTTGTTGCACAGACTTCCAGTCCAGCAAGTCTCATGTTAATGTCACATTTAGGTAATGTAAATTTATAATTCACTGATATGCAATTTAGTGCACAGACTTGTGCACTGATGGTTATTCAATTGAAACGTATTCCGATAAGATTTTTATAATCATTTGCAATTGTAAATATGTCATTATTATTATTATTATTATTATTATTATTATTTCTTTTTGGGGAAACATGTTTCTTACTTACAGCTTCTGCATGCATTAAATTTTTCAGATATAACCTCAAAATTTTGCAATTGGTACATTGTTCATAATTCTTGACTTAAAACAGTATTTCATACAAAATTTATAGGTATGTTTGTGATCTATCTCCATACCAAGTTTCACATGCCTAACTTCAGTGGTCCATTAGTTATGGTCATTAGACTGAAAGCCAAGCTTGGGTTTCATGTAACTGTCATTTTGTTTTTTTATATCCTCCAAAGAGAATTATCGTAATGGGAGTCAACATATTTTTTGAAGATCTATTACCATACATCATTTCAAGACCCTGGATCAAGTGACATGTCTCTCCATACGTAATGGGGCAGTTGCACTAAATGAAAAAGTACAGGACATAACATCCATGCCAGATATTGTGAAAGTCTGTCGTTTCAAAAGTTTAAAGGAAACCACCAACATAAGCACACAGCAGCAGCATCTCATAACTGTCGTATTTTATTTAAGGAAGGGAAGTAGACTAAAATTAGGTGTCACTTTAAGTATGTTCTGTCATGAGGCTTTCATTTGCTCCTTCTAATTAAGATGTAATAATATTTTCTCTATTGCAATTTTCTTATGTCTTTATTTTCAAGAAAAGAATCTCATAAACTTGGTGAAAAATACAAGAAGGGGATTCCAGTAGAGGTCATTCCCATGGCTTACTGCCCTGTGCAGCTGAAAATTGAAGCAATGTATGGAGGCACGGCAGACCTCCGAATGGGAAAGATGAAAGCAGTATGTGGCTTGATGTAATAAGTTCTTAATCGATGCATGTTGTATGAACTATATGACTGGATTTCTGAAAAGCACCTAGGACATGATAACTGAAATTCAAAACATGTGTATGACTGCATTCAGTGATAAGTTTCTGTTAAGATAAATTCAGTATTTCTAAGTGGCACATCTTCTCTGTTGTAGGGACCTCTAGTCACTGATAATGGTAACTTCATTCTGGACTGGAAATTTCCAGCATCAGATTTTGACTGGGCTTCTGTCAACACTGCCATTAAAATGATTCCTGGTATGTGCATTTGTATTTCTTACAGACAGGGAAATCAAACAGTCTGAGACTGACACAATATGAAATCAAAATATGCAACTGGAGGTAATGTATCATATGAAAATTTTGGAAAATATAAATATCCAAAAACAGCTGTAAGAAACAAAACTGAGAGTATTGAGAAGGTAAGAATATACTGGAAATTCTTGATATTGTAATTTGCAGAAACTGTTATCCGTTTTACATTCAAAAACAGCTACACTCAAGATATGTATAGATGCATGCATGCGCACCCACCCACACACACACACACACACACACACAGAGAAATATCTTTACCATTTGTAAGATTTTAGGTTTCACAGTGGTGACTATGAAGAAAGTAGTCTTCTGGGATGTGGTACCATGCAGATATTGCGTTAATTGATGTTTCGGAGGAACAAATCGCCTCCAGGTTAGTACCTGCTTACACTGGTTCCTCGCTCGCGAATTTTCTTCTTTTTTCTTCTACCCTGAAGATTGAGGCGATACGTTCCTCCGAAACGTGGGTTAAGACAATATGTACATGGTGCCACATCCCAGAAGACTGCTTTCTTCATTTTTACCATTTGTTTTATCAAGCACTCTCTCGACTTGAGCTAATAACATATATGTTACAAGCAATGGAAAGTGAAGTATGCAGCAAAGTATTTGGATCAAAGAGTGATGAAGGCAGTGGGCAATCAGGTCTTACACAGGTCATCTGATATTCTGAGAGTAGTGAAATAAAGAAGATTGAAGTGGGCTGGACCTGTAGCATGGATCACACAAGAAAGAAATAAGCAAGAAATGGACACAGTTTTGGTGGGGAAGGTCAAGTAGGAGGTCTGTGAGTAACTTTAACGTGATGTGTGGCTAATTAGGGAAGAACCGAGGTAGTTCTGGACTACTGTGGTCAGGACAGCTGAGATTTTTCTCTTCTTCATCATGTCATGTCCAAAACCAGCTGTGGGTCCTATGGAACATGAAACTGATCATCCATCTCTGTCTAATATGCAGGTTAAGAATGTGTGGAGCTTTACCTTTGCCTTTCGATGTATCTTCATGGCATGGTGCCTAGTACAGAGACACTTTGCTGTATATGTATATAATAAGGGTGGGAGGTGGATGAAGCAGGCTAAGGGCCATGTCTTGTGATTTGTTATATGTGATGTTGAAGCTTCATATATACTACCATATTAGTCTTCATCAGATGAAAAAGTGGAGCATTTGTCTTTCTCTTTGACAGGTGTGGTGGAGACAGGCTTGTTTGTCAACATGGTCACTAAAGTATTTTATGGCACTGCAGATGGAAAAGTGAAGGAACACAAGATATGATTCCTTACCAGGCTTGTTTGTCAACATGGTCACTAAAGTATTTTGTGGCACTGCGGATGGAAAAGTGAAGGAACACAAGATATGATTCCTTATTAGAGACTAGGATTTGTTGGTTGGTGGTACACTGAAATGTGAAGTTATTCTCAATAGTATACCTGTTGTATCTGGTTAATGCTCATATTTTATTTTCCATTGTGACACCTTTCTCATGCACCTCAGTTTCAAGCCACTGGTGCTGTAAATATACTTGTCATTGTTTTTGTGCCATATGTTAATATCCAGCTGCACTGATTTATGCAATTATATGTGTAACAATCCCTTGCCAGCTGCAGGGGTTTCATTCCCGAGGAACGCTGTGGTTAGCAGAATCAGGACCCTATGAGAAATTAAGGTTTAAAGGAACTGTGGTTTTTCTTAACATCCATGAAAGCCTAAGTTTCCTGTTTCTTCAGTACACACAGAAAACGTGCACCACAGTGGTAATCTTGAAGCCATAAAACTGCTTTCAGATGCCATTACAGTCTTGCCTCCAGGAAGTGTGAATGTCCTTGTGCATATGCTGCACACTTTTTTATGCTTATATATCATACAAATTAAAATCTTTATATATTTAATGCCAGATAATGTTAGAAAAACTGAGTACAAGTAGAAAACTGCAGATAATTGAAGTTACAATTGGTAATAGGTTGATGTATTTGAAAAGCTCATGACAAAACTTCAGAAACAGTTTTTCTCAACAAGGTGGAACACAGTATAGACTTATAGATATCTCATAAGATTTGAGGGTTTCTTTATAGATTTCTTATTACAGTTTTTGTACACTTATATGAAATAACTGTGAATTTATTGACACCTGTTGAAAAGTTACTTGGAAATGTAGAAAACAGAAATATAGGTTTAGTCTTTAAAGTTTGGTAGATAATAGGCATGTGTGAGACTCCCTCTTTCTTTTCAAGGTATCAGGGTCAGAATTATAAAAATCAGCAAATATCATCTGAAAGCATCTTACAAAATCACTTTCATGTCTACTTTGTAAGAGGACACTACATAATGATTAAGTAAAATTGTCATTGTCTTTCAGAAAGTCTAAAGATGGTGCATCATACTTCTTGCAGACACCATTATGAAAGAAAAGTCCTGAGTATTAACAAAGTCTCCAGTGTGGTGCTCCTAAGGATCACGGTCCATAGCGTGCAGAACTTAACAACCATCTTCCTGAAACCCGTAACATATTTGTATCTGTAAATAATGTTGTCATATATTGCCTTACAATGCGGAAACTCCCATAAAAGGGTGTCTGTTGTGAGTTAATGTTAAAGAAAGAACAGTTTATGTGTTGTATCTGTTAATTTGTTGTAAATATAACATACTTTTCTTCATGTTATTGTGCCTTCAGCAAAGCAGTTGTTGCTATGACCGCCTAGTGGCTGGAGCTACTGGCAGCTACTGCTCTAAAATTTTGTTTCTATGAGGGTTGTACTGAAAGACATGAGCAACAGTTTTTTGTAAAGTAACACATTTCATTATTGACAAACCAAATACCCCACCTCAATCTACAGACCTCTCTATATTTTTCCACATAATCACCACTTCTTTGTACACATTTCTCCCAGCATTCTGGGAGTTTGAAAGTTCCCCTTCTGTAAAATTCCGTTCCAGCCATTCGAAGACACTGATGCACTGCTTTCTGAATTGCCTCCCTTGTCTCAAAACATTGTCTACACAGCCGATCCTTCATAAATCCGAAAAGATGGTAGTCGGAGGGTGCCAGATCAGGGCTATAGGAGGCGTGTGGAAGAACTTCCCACCCCATCATTGCAATTGCTTCCAATGTGAGGCGAGCGGTGTGGGGGTGAGCGTTGTCATGCAGGATGATGATGTTTCATCCTGGACATTTATCACACAATGTACGATGGAGCTTGTGCAGCGTCCTGACATAATGGGCAGCATTGATGGTTTGCCCAGGTTCCAGGAATTCAGCCAGAATAAACCCCTCTGCATCCCAGAAGACTGTGCCCATCACCTTTGCAGGTGATGGCACTGTCTTTGCCTTCTTTTTTGATGGAGAATGCAAATGGTGTAATTCTATGCTCTGGCTGTTTTGTTTCAGGTTCGAAATGGTGAAACCAGCTCTTGTCACCTGTCACAATACAGAGCAAGAAATTATCGCCTTTGTATTGATATCTCTGCAGCAGTTCTGAGGTGATGGCTTTTTGCTGACCTTCATGGGCTTTGGTCAATAACCGCGGGACCCAACGAGCACAAACTTTCCTATAGCCCAAGCTTTCAACCATCTCCTGTACTGTACTGTGCCCTATTCCAAGTTTTCTGGCTATTGTGTCCACAGTCACATGCCTGTCGTCTTGAATGATCTCATCCAATCTTTCCTTGTTGCGTTCAGTTGAGGCTGTTTGAGGATGACCACTCCGAGGCTCATCTTCGATGCTGGTGTTCCCATCTTTAAAATGTTTCACCCATCTTTGAACACTGCTCGCACCCATGCACACACACTTCCATAAGCACGCTGGCGAAACGACATATCGTTGTTGGCCAATTTGTTAGGAGTGATACTGGTCACGTGATGCAAGCTATTGCCGTCACAACACACTCAAGGTTAACACAACAGCTGGTGCCACCTACCACCATACTCTCTTTCATCTGCTGTTCCCAGGTTGCATGCAAAAAAAAGTTGCTCATGACTTTCTGTACGACCTACATACTTTGAAGTAATTTTATATACTCTGTGCTGTTTTAAGAGACATTAGTATTTATTTAGGTGTCAAGCATGGAATCTTAAGTTTCAGTATTTATCCTGTACTGTAATTAATACACAAGATTGAGGATGGTTTTCAAAATAACTATCAGTCATCTTAATATGTGTGATGGATTCATGTGTATGAATACACGATTTTTAGTTGACACAGTGTCATTTGCTTTGAAAGCATAAAGTAGGGTTTTATGTCTTACCCTATCATTCACTGGACCTTAATTTCTGAAATACAGTCTTTAACAGTTTTCCTTTTGGTATGGATACAGTATAAGTTCCTGTTAACTGTTGAGGCCAGCTAGCTGAGGAGATAATACTGCAGATTTGAAAATCAGATACTCCAGGCTTGATCCTATATGTTTTGTCCCCCTCCTGCTCCTCTGCCTCCATTTTCTTTCTCTGTCAGAAGCACTTATCACATATTTCTAGTAGTTGTAATATGTTCATGCAATATAAATTTACAAGTGAGATATACAAATTTATTGAATATTATTTTGTACAGTGTAACTAAGAAGAAAATAGCCATACAGTTGATGAATAAAGGCCCTTAGGGATGGCATAAAAATTTTCTTTCCTAGGGGAACATTAAGAGAACGTACGTCATTTGGGGTAAAAAATTGGAGCATTTTCTGTATTTGACATTATATGGAAAGAGAATTACATGGCAGCATTTACAGGCTCAACAATTTAGAACAGATAGTGCATAATGGACTTAAAACAGATAAAAAAATTATTTTTTGTGGTTTATTTTACACTGCTGCGAGCATCTCACACTATGGTGTTGAATGTTAGGATGACTGGCAAGAAATGAATTTGAGAAGATTTAGAAACACGTGTTTTCGCGTAATTGAGATACTATCCCAGTATTTTCCTGGAGGGACAGAGGAGGTTTTGTAGGATTCGAGGTTCTTACAGTAGTGGTTATGAAGAACTCTGTCTTCCGGGATGTAAGGCCATGTAGTCCATTGAAAGTCAGCCGATGTTTTGGAGGAACATATCTCCTCCATTTTCTTGGTTTGCTTGCCATCTTCTTTCATGCTGGTTTCGTGCTTGGCTTATCCTTTGACCCTGAAGATGGGGGCAGCGTGTTCCTCCTAAATGTCGGTTGACTTTCAACAGACTGCACATTGTTGTATCCCAGAAGATAGGATTGTTCACTAATGACTTGCCAGGGTAGTCTGATGTTCCAGCTCTGAGATTTAATACAAGTCTAGAACTGTTCTTCTACACCTGCCTGCTTGCAGAAAAGTGGTACATTTAAACCAACATACCAAGGAAATTCCCAGTAAAAGAATCGAGTAATTATCTAATGAGGAAGTAATGGTTTACAGCATTGATGATGCACCCTTGTTCAGGTTTCAGGCTGACAATATAGCTAAAAGCTTGTACAGTAACTGGCAGACATTGATTCATTCATTCATCAGTAATCTGTCAGACAACAGATCCACAGTCTCTTCCAAAACAGTTCCTCCACTTAATGCGATCTAGAGCTTTCTCCTTCAAATGAGAATATCCTCTTCTGTCCCCAAGGTCATCCAGCATCTTCTTACATCTTCATCCTCATCTTCTGGTCACTTCTATCCGCCCCTCTACCTTTCCTTCAGTAACTTCTTTTAGAAGGCAGTTACTGCGTAAGACATGACCAATCCAATTAGCCTTCCGTTTTCTTATTTCGTGAAGGATATTCCTCTGCTCACTGACTAAAAATAACACAACTTCATTTCTCACATAATCGGTCCAACTGATCTTCTCCATCCTTCTCCAACACCACATTTCGAAACTTTCCAGGTGTTTCTGATCTACTGCCCTAAGTGTCCATGTTTCAGCCCCATACAGAGCTATGCTCCAAATGTAGCATTTCACTAGTTTCTTTCTCAAATTTAAGTCCAATTTGCTGGTAAAAAGATTCTTCTTCTTGCTAAATGCAGCTTTTGCCATGGCAGTCCTAGAGACATTGATTACAGGTTTAAAATTTGGTGGATTTTTTACTTCCAAATAAAATTAATATTAGATGAGAGGATAATATTAAAATTGATCCTAAAACAGTATGTGCGATGATGTGTGCTGGGTTTGTTTGGCTCAGGATAGGGTCCAGTGGGTAGCGTTTGTAAACCTTTTGTGTTCGTAAGAGGGAGTGAATTTCTTGACTGTGATCTTCTCATTTGAAATTAAGATTATTTTCTCTCCTCGAGACTCACATATGCCTATTGGAAATAAAAATATCTTGTCCTGATGTGGCATAGTTATAGTATGTAAGTTTAAAAATATATATGCTTTTTCATGTGTGTGTGATTTCTTTGTTTGCAGTGTCTGAAGCAGGGTATGTGTTTTAGATCAGTAAATGTTTTTATACAGTATCACTTTAGTGAGAAATCTGTTAAACATTTCTTCTTATTATTTTTGTCCCATGTGTAATAAATGTGCATTATTTTTATAGTGAAACAGTGATTTATTAGCATTATTATTTTATAGGGTATGAAGTACTCAAAAGTTGCCAATATGAACTGTGTTTAATTTGTATTGTGGGATATTTGAAACAACTGCCATTGTTGACCAAAAAGATTAGCTCATGAATGCAAAGGCAATATACAGTGAACTCCCAATCTAGTGTACCAGCATTTATTGAAGTACCATATTTAGCAATTTGTTTGTCTGGTCCCAGTATAATCAGTCTGTATATATTCTTTGAGCCAGGATAGCTCAGTCATTATAGCGACTGGCTATGGACTGGATGACTGAGGTGTTGGAGTTAAGGTCCAGTAGGGTCAAGAATTTTCTCTCCTCCATGTCGTCCAGACTGGCTCTGGTTTCCAGCCAACCACCTATCGAATGGGTACTGGGGGCTCTTTCCCGGGGGTAAAGCAGCTGGGCCATGAAGGTGACCACTCACCTCCAATTAGTGCCGAGATCAAGAAGATGTGGATCTATACATCCACTCCCCCATATGCCTTCANATCCAATTCAGGAATCATTATTTCATCGCCACTATCATCATCAGAAAAATCTCGTTCACAACATTTTCCAGCTGGTCTGTAGGAAAACGAAGACACTTGCTGCAAGAAGCTATGGTGAAACTGAATGAATGTGAAATATTTTCTGACCTTTACCTTCTCAGAGGGTTCTGACAGTAATATAGACCCCCACAAAGTTTACAAGGGTTCTTTACAAACATGCACAAAAACTATCATAAATATGTCTTTGGTTGATGAGTGCCAAGAGAGCAAAGAAGGGACGAGATTGTCAAAGCGTTAAAACACGCCAACGCCAGGGAACGGCTGGCATCGTCCGGGCGTTAAAACACGCCCGCGCCAGTCAAAGAGTTAATTAGTTAAGCATAGGGACAACTATAGCTTATGTATATTATTTTTCTGCAGCAGTGCATTTCAATTTAGTAAATAACTCACATTTAATGTAAGCAATTTTCAGCATTTCAGAACATTTACCACAGTTTAATGTGATCATGGCTGAAACAACAGTCGACATTCATGTTCTCTCTCTGCCAGAAATTTTTTGTTTTATATCGTATTTATTTGGTGTCATTAATTATTTAGTAATTATAGCATAATATGGTAGGATGATTGATGAATGGTGAATTGGAAAGGATCTGGAATAATGCGGTCATGGTTTAGTCAGGGCACTATCCTGGCATGTTCCTAGAAGGAATGATGAAAACCATGAAGGTCCTGTTGGAATGACTGTTGTCATAGCTGAGATTCAAACAGAGCACCTACCAAGTAAAAGTCTAGAGTGTTAATGTTACATGCTTGGTCAGAATTTTTTCTGTTTTATAAACAGTTGATTACTACAAGTCAGTCTTTGGCCCTAGTGAAAAGAAATACAACCTTTGTAATTTCTTAGTAATTTATTGTTAGAAAAATGATACAATGTACATATATAACATTAGATTATGAAAAGCATAAGTTGATGAGTGTTGCTTGGGCTTACTTGTTGACCAGACTCGGTGTTATCAGTATACATTCTTGTGCCATTGTCATTTCACACAAGTAGATACGGATATGAATATGCATACCCTAAAATCAAAACATACCAGTATAAACATGATTTTATTCACTGGGTTATTTTTACATTATCTGATGAGTTACAGGAGAAAGTATAGGTAGAGGTAAAGCTGTCCCTGTAGCAGGCTGTGAAGGCTCATTGCAGAAGACACTAGTTTCAGTAAGGTAGTACCTTTCTTTGGGGGCACGCGGTAGCATAGTTGGCTAACACACTATGCTACAAGCCAGAAGGTCATGGGTTCAAGTCCAAATGAGGTCATTGGATTTTTTCAGTCGACCTAATCCTTCCAGCCGCACTATGGCCCTGGGGTCGACTCAGCCTCTAACAGAAATGAGTACTAGGAATTAATTAAATAATTTTTCGGGGGAGTAAAGCGCGGCCGGCGTGTAAGGCTGACAACCTTACTGCCATCTTTGAGCCGATTGTCTAGATAATGTGGGACCCTCAACGTCTCACAACTCTATGGGGGCTTCACGGCCTGTTACAGGGATAGCTTTACTTTTAGTACCTTTCTTTAATTAAGCACTGTACCATGAAGATGTATTGGGGGAGGGATGACTCCATGCATTCTTGACTTTGGCACTAGATTGGATGATTAGTCACCTTCAAACTTTAACCTCTTTAGCCCAGGGAAAGTATCCCAGTAATTATGTGACATGATGCTGAGTGGGCCGGAAGACTAATCTGGGTGTTGTGGCAAAGAGACATATTCCTGACCCTGATGGTAGTTCAGCTCATAATCACTATACTGACTGAGCTTTCCTGGCTCAAAACATACACATTAGTGTACTTGTATACATTATTTACAAGATCCGTGTGTAAGCGTAGTATTTCATACAGTAACTGGACCATACATGGTCAGTCAGTATTTCTTTTGTATGAATTCAGATCCCTATAAGAGATGTAACAGGCGAGGGAAAATTCAACTGTATGGTGTAAGTAGTAAAATTGAAATTCATTACAGCTGCATGGGGAAACACTTTTCTTCTCATATGAATTTTACTGAAATCAATTATATGGAAACGCTAAAATGAAGGGGGTCAGTCAATGACAAACCATGATGTAAGGTAGCTCAGTAAAAAGTGGGTGGAAGGAAAGCTACAGTAACTGAAATGTCTGTAGCTTGAGGGAGAAATACTTTTATGAGATTAATGTTAAAGAGTAGTGTATTCAGTATTCAGTATTGAGGGGGTGAGTTTCCCCATGCACTTAGACCAGTTGTTGGTCCATTGTGCGTCCCCCTTTAATTTCTACTGTCTCCATACCCTACTGGTACTGGTGCTCGCTATCAGCCCCTTTCTGCCAGCAAGGTTCCGATCCTCTACTGGCAGTGGTATCTAATAGTCCCTTTCTGTCAGAGAGGTCGCCCCTCCTCTGGCAGTGGTACCTAATAATTCCCCATCTACTGGAGGCATTGGAAACTACTTTGGGCGGGAAACTTTTTGGTCAAATTTAGCTCAGAGGTCTCCTAGAGACATGAGGTTCTTTTACGTGCCATAAATCTATGACATGGGACAGCTTAAAGTCCCTCCCGGAGGACTTGTTCCCTGAATTTTTCCACCCTTAAAAGTTCCACGACATCCGCCGGGTTTGAACCCGCGTACCTTGAGTCATGAGGTGGGAACGTTACCCCTAGACTACGGAGGCCGCAAAGAGTAGTGTAAGTTACACATTTGAAAAAACAGACCTTTCACTGAAGCAGTGCTGTAACTCTTCCCTTACCTGCCTCTACTTAGAGGTTGTACTATAAGTGACTGAAGTTTGGTATCATCAACTTCCCCCACCCTTCCACCTTCTTCAAATATAGGATGTACAAAACTATTGTAGCAACATCAAAATTTGTACTCATCAGTGATGATCATGTACATTTCAGATAAAACATTTGAAAGCATGTCTGACAGGACTTATAATTCCGTGACCAAATAAGCAGTTGGCTTTTTGTGACAAAATTTAAAGATTAAAACACTGTTAATACCTAAGCCATGTCAGTGTGGTTCATACTTTCATACTTCATTTGTGTTTGCCCCTCTGTCATCATCTTGACCTTGCAAGCGGTTTTTCTGTAAACAGTACTTTTTTCTTTTTGTTTCTTTCATTCAGCTACATTTCAAGCACAGAACCATCTTTTTAAACTGTCATAACAATGGTATTGTAGCGTATAGGTCCATGACTGGGTACTGACCTCAAAACATCTGCTGCAAGGCAACAGTATTTTAATAAGCAAGTATTGAGCCATTATTGAATAACGCCATAGGAAACAAACGTTCCCAGGGAAAGGATTGTAGTGCAACAATAAACGGCGTTTTCTACGCGGTCTCTGCCAAGGGGTTGTCAGTTGAAAGGAAGTCTCTGAAGAGAGGACTTAGTGCAGTTGAGAATGGAAGCTGAAGAATCTCCATTGTTAAGATCCATTACCGGGAAGCGAATAATGAAAGCAGACTGAAAAGATTTAGTGTGTGCTATAGTGATTTGTAAAGTGTGGAAATTAGCGGTAGTGTTATAATTTTTTTAATTCGCTTAGTGGGGGTGGAGTCCAACTGGGTCCACTCGGCACGGCGGCCACTGATTGGACTGTTGTAGCCTGCCCCGGGTGATTATGATGATGTAGAATTTGGTGGAATGAAGATTGGCAGGGGAAACCGAAGTACTCTGAGAAAACCCGCCCCAGCGTCACTTTGTCCACCACAAATCCCACTTTACCAGACTCGGGATCGAACCCGGGCCGCCGCGGTGAGAAGCCAGGGACTAACCGCTTGAGCGATAGCGCGGCCTAGTGTTATAGTTACTTGTAGTTACGACCTGTAAGTAGTCAATAAATCCAATCTCCAAACCAAAACCCCGTCTATAGTCACTATACACGTGGCAGCTGGTGTCAGAAGTGATTGTATTGGAATCACACCCGGACACATGACGTGGAATCCGCAGTGAAATGCTATATCGGTACACTATGGAAATGGAACAGATGATGGAAAGCCTGCTGGCCAAAATGGATGCCAACCACGCAGAAGTGCTGGCCAGGATGGAAGCCCAAACGGACGTCACCCTAAATGGGATCATAGCAGACATAAGGGCCTGCCTAAAGGCGACAGAAGCCTGTCTGTAGAGTAAGGAGCCAACCTCAGTGGAGACAGTCCGCAGCGGTTCATGAGGAGGTCCCTAAAGAAGAGGCCGCAGCACCGAAGGAGTGTTATGGGGACCGGCATCCAGCCGTCGCGCGTCGCCGACGGTTGAAAAAATGGATCCAGGGCAATGACAGGTCCCGGAAGAAGTTGATCGCCGCCCGCGTAAGGGACACGGTCATCAGGGACCAGGCATGGACAGTGTTGCAGGAGGAGCCCCTGGAGAACGTACGTTCGAGAAGAGACGTCGGGCGCAGCCGTAATGCAACAACGGCATAAGGAACAGAGGCCAAAAAGAGCGATTACTTCTGGGAAGCAAGAGAACACTCAACAAGACCATCAGGCAGACCGTAGAGCTGGAGGTCGCAAAGCAAACAGTCGGGACATCCATTAGACGGCGGAAAATGAGTGTCAGGACATTGTGGGTTGGTCGGCCCCCTCCGAAACGCAAGAAGAGACGGCACAGAGACATAGGAGCATTGACCAATCTCGGATTTTGCCTATACTGAGCGGAAAAGGAGGACAATGGCGATAAACCTGGATGGACTGGCACCTCATCAAGAAATCGCTCGGGACAAGCGGCTTTAAAGAGTGAGCAGCTGGAACGGTTGGAGAGTAACCTCCGTGAGAACAGCCACGGGGCAGAAAGCTGAGAACGATCACAGACGTTACAAGCACAGCCCTCGGAAAAGAAGAAATGGCGGTACAATTCGGGATGAATAACCTTAAAGAGGGAGCAATATAGCATGTAGGCCCGTTATTGGGTAACGACCTCGAAACAACGAAACATCTGCTGCTAGGCAACAACAAGTATTCGCAGCCGTTACTGAGTAACGCCTTCGCAAACAAACATGTTCCCACTGAAACGATTGGAGTACAACAATAAACGGTGTTTTCTACGCGGTCCGTGCCAAGGGGTTATCAGTGGGATAAGTTTAGAAGTTAGTTGTAAGGGAATCTGTGAAGGAATATTTAGTCGTTGCAGTTGAGAACGCAAGCTTAAGAATCTCCATTGTTAAGATCCGTTACTGGGAAACGACTGACAGTAGACAGGAAAGATTTAGCGTGTGCTTCAGTGATTGGTAAAGTATGAAAATTAGCGATAGTACTATCGTTATTTGTAGTTACGACCTGTAAGTGGTCAGTAAACACAATCTCCAATCCGAAACCCGTCGATAGTCATACTGACTTGGACATACACATATTTCAGTTCTTCAGAGACTAACCTAAGTTTGAGTAGCCATATGAGTATGGTGCAACATAGCTTGTATAGTAAGGTGATGTATATGCGCTGTAGGTGAGCGCAGACGGGTAGCTGTAAACAAGAGGCACCAGACTTGGTTTGGGCCCTGGCACTGGCGCAGGAACTGGGGCTGGAGCAGCAGAAATCATAGCCAGAACTGCAACCAGCAATACTAGCTGGAAAACAGAAAATAGTTCTAAATGTTGACTTGAACACACACTGTAATAAGTAATGCTAATAAACATTAAATCTGTTGGACAACAGGAGCATTTAATGTGGTTATAAACAAACTGTTAGGAAGTTGATACAGAAAGTTAGGTCACATTCAGGAGTTCCCATGTTCAGACCTTGACCTGGAGACTGGCCAGTGATTGAAGTTAACTCTTTCAAAGGGACTCGACAGAGTAGGTGTCTCCCCCCCCCCTCACCTGAGGACAGTTTTCAAAACGTGTTCTCTAGTTTTTAGAATACCCGACGAAGGAAAAAGGCCGAAAGCCTTCGTCAGAACCCTTTAGATATGCTTGTTTCTGGGTCCTTCGCCTTTAATGTGCGTCAACTTCTCCGACTTCTGCGAACGGCGGGTAGTGTTCATCATTACGGCGTTCATTCATTTCAAGGCAGTGTGCTCTAGTTGCTGTTACAAATAAGCGGCCTCCGTAGTCTAGAGGTAACGTTCCCACCTCATGATTCGTGGTACGCGGGTTCAAACCCGGCGGAGGTCGTCGAATTTTTAAGGGCGGAAAAATTCAGGGAATAAGTCCTCCGGGAGGGACTTTAAGCCGTGTGTCCAGTGTCGTAGCTTTACGGCACGTAAAAGAACCTCATATCTCCAAAGGAGGTCACAGCCAAATTCAAGAACGTTTCCCGCCCAACAAGTAGTCGCTAAAACCTCTGATAGATGGGGGAAGCATTATAGATACTGCCAAGCTAGTGGAGGCCGAACTCGCTGGCTCTGTCGGGACTGATGGTACGCACCAATATCGGTAGGATATAGAGACTGGCAGAATATCATAGAGGGAAGCACAATGGACCAATACTGGTCTAAGTGCATGGGGAAACCCACCCTCTCCAATAACTAACTAACTACTGTTACAATTGATTATTACTCGTATGGTATTTGATTTATCATTTGAATGAAGAATTTAAATGCTTTAATTATCCGATTTTTGTGTCACTCTGTGTAAGTAGCTAGCTACTGCCTGATTGCTCGGATTCAATTCACGACAAGGTAAAACTTCCTATTTTCACCAGCATGTCCGTACTGTGCCTGGAATCCACACAGTCCACTAGTTAAAGGGAACAGCAGGTCGAGAGGTCAGAATATGACGATGACCACTCATTTCCATCTGGTTCCGAGGTTAAGAAGCATGGGTAATTACCTCCACATCCTTTATGCTAGTGTTTCTCAACCGCCAGGTCGCGGCACCAATTATACCGGGCCCTCGTCTTATAGAAAAAAGAATTTACCGGACCGCGGTATGACAAAGGTTGAGACCCACTGCTTTATGCGGCTTCATAATGAGGTACTTACTCCCGGGGCAAAACTATTTCAATCATTACTTCTATCAAGGAAAGAACAATGTATGACTATTGGTTTTTGAGAAATTAGAAAACTATTTAAAACCTGATGACAAAACAGTAACGCTGAACCATTTGATTCTGTCACATGTGCAGCCTTGTTGTCTTTCCCCACACAATTAGATTAACCTAATTTAGCCAACATTTAATTAAGTTCTTGAGAAACATTAATGATGAAAATTTCTGTCTTCTGGGATATAACGCCGTATAGTCCCTTGAAAGTCAACATCAAATCCTATAACATGAATTATCTGAGTAAATATTTCTACCTGTTGCACGACTGATTATATTTTTACTTGACATTATAAAGTGCTAACAAAATCAGGAGATTTGTGGCTTTCACGGCGGTGACTATGAAGAAAGCAGTCTTCTGGGATTTGGCACCGTGTATATGTGGTGTTAACCGACGTTTCGGAGGAACGTATCGCCTCCATCTTCAGGGTAGAAGGAAAAATATAAGAAATCCGCAAGCGAGGAGACCGTGAGAACCGGTAAAAGCAGTGTTAACACCACATATACACGGTGCCAAATCCCAGAAGACTGCTTTCTTCAAAATCAGGAGAGACTGAAAATAAATGGAACACAACTTCAGGTCTATTCTGATGATGTTAATTCAGAAAATCAATCAATAAATATAATAAAGAACAACTCAGAAAATCTTATTAGTTACTAGTAAGGTATTCGGTATAAATATGAAAGTAGAGCAAATGCACACATATATCCATGTATCGTCTGCAGAATGAGTAACAAACTAATAATGTGACATTCGTATGTATGCTGCGGTATAGCGAATTGTTAATCAGTGTAAATCAGTTAAATTGTTGTAGTTACGATTTACAAGCATCCAAATACCCAACCAAACCTCGCGTCTAGCCACTGAAACACGCGACAAAATATTATATAGAATAAGCCATCACTTCTTCACTTGCCAAAATTAAATTACCTGGGAACGACAATAACGTAAAAATGATATCCACGCAGATATTAAAAGCAAATTAAATTCAAGGAGTGCTTGCTACCATTAAGTTTTATATTTGCTTCTGGAAAATAAGAAGAAAGGGGGGGGGCGGAGAGAACTACACAAATACGAATTTCCAAATTTGTACCATTCACCATATATTATTAGAGAACAACTAATATTGCTAAGCGCTATATCTCTCGAGTATCACGGAAAGATAAGCGCCTGGTACTCACAATAGCTCTCATTGTTGATGGCTGAAGGACGCTGCGCGTGGACCACAGGGCGCTACAGCTGAGCGGTGTGTTGCTTAAACGGCAAGAGCAGCAATTTATACTCGGGCCCCTCCTCAGTAGTGTCCTCACAGTCCACTGTTATGTCCATCTCTGTGACGTCAAACAGAATACTAAGTGCAAGTCCCGAATGTTTCTTTAACCATTCACTCTCTCATTGTGAGGATGTTTACCAGCGTTTGTGGTGACAGAACAGGTACAAACTAACAAAGACTGATGGATAGGAGGTTACTTAATGATATTGTACCAGTTACAGAGGCCGATCACAGTGGCCGCGCGGTCTAAGGCATGAACTTTCTTCCCTCGCTCGGACGCTGGAATCATTAGCTCGAATCTCACTCAAGGCATGGTTGTCTCTATGCGTTTATTCTGTGTTTGTGTTGTTCTTTGTGTAGGCAGAGGCCTTGCGAAGGGCTGATCCCCCGTCCAAGGAGCCCTACTGACTGTATAGGATCAAGAAACTGAAAGAGCGGTCGATGTCCAACAAAGTGCTGTCGAACCATAACAATAACAACAACAATATGTTACAGAGGTTACTTAGGGTGGGATGGTATTCAAGGATGAACACATTCGTTTAAATGTATGTGATTGAGGGAGTGAGTAGTCGTGGTCGGTTTCCAGATACTACCCCGTCATTCGCCTGGAGCTAATGAAAGATAACGAGAAATCTCTGGTTAGTAAAGATGAGGTTCAGAAACAGTTAATCGTTTCTTTGAGAAAGGCCTGTTGAGAAGAATATCCGGACCCAAGAGACTGGAAGTAATGGAAGGCTGTAGATCGTTACACACCGAGGAGCTTCCTAAATTTGCTCTTAAACGCGTCACTGAGATAATTAAATGAAGCAGCAAGAAACAGATGGCAAATGCATACAGTCATACGAGCCCCTGAAGGTGGTTCTGTGGGATTGAAACGTATTAAGGCGATTGTATTTACTCAAGTTTTAGTTTGAGTTCTTGCACTTGATGGTTGTCTTATTGCTTAACAATTAATGCAGGCAGATCTTTCTTACGCAAACCTGATTCTGGTGATCTAGGCATAGTTTGGAGATGGATATAAGATCTGAGGATGCAGATTGGATTCAGCTGACTCAAGACTTTCACTAGTGACTGGCTCTTGCGCAGAAGATAATGACACATACGGTTTAACAAAAGGGAGATTGAAGCCTTGAGTAGATGACCGACTGTTAGCTTTTCAAGAAGGATGCTGCTTCACGGAGTCAGTTACTTGGTAAATACATTCTCACCATAGCATACAGGAATAAACACGCGACTGTCACCTGCTGTATAGGAACGTGCAGACTGCTGGCCGTTACGCGATGTACAATTATTCGACACCCCCAAGAGCAGATGTTACGTAATGACTTGCAGCTCCCAACTATAAACGCTCACCGGCCACTAATTCTGTATTCCAGCCATCGGCGTGAGGCAAAGAAACGTGTTTGTTCTCCTTAAGTTTTTTTAAGATCTCATGGCCGTTGAGTTCGTGTATGCTGTCACATTCATTACGGTCTTGTCTAGTAGTGAAAGAAGCATATCCACAGAAATATTTATGAAGGACTTTAGAACAAATACAACTTAACACGGATAGGAAATATGGGTAATTTATAATTTTAACGTACCGCATTAGAAATATGCCATGGTAAGTGGGTCCCTTGTCACCACGGCATGCCGCGTCCTCAGGTTGCGAATGGAGGAGGCGGCTTCAGAGATGGAAAGTAGCTACGAATATATTGAATAAGCAGTCGCGGACAGTCGACAAAGGGCGGTCTTTCAGCTTGGTGTTTGGGCATGTGGCTAAATATTCCTCACTATAAAAAAAAAAATAAGCTTGTTACGAAATGACACAAAGGACATCGGACTTGGATGGATTCTTTGGATAAACAATCTAAGCTAAGGATAATGGGCATGAGATATGTTACGTGGAATGTAAAAAGTCTGTATAGGGCAGGTTCGCTCATGAAAGTTGCGAACTTTCGTTAGGAGATTTCAGTACCAAAGTAACATTGCCACATCCAAAATTTTATTGTCAGAAGTACAATATTCCTACATCATAATATTCATAAATTTACTTGGACATTTCCTGATGGTAAGACTCACAATCAAACTGACCATATTTTGATACAGAGAACACTGTATACCAGTTACTTTATGTCTGGTCATTCAGGGGGAGCAGACTGTGATAATGACCATTATCAGATGATGACAAATTTAAGGAGAGACTGGCAGTGAGCAAACAGAAAACGCACAGATTTCTTATGGAAAGGTTCACAATCAGGATATTAAACGAGATGTAGGGTAAAGATCAGAATTATGTTGAACTCTCAAATAGGTTCGCAGCTTTGGAAAACTTAGACGCTGAGGTGGAAATTTGTGAAACTATTTGATTGAATATCAAAATTTCAGCCGAAGAGAGTGGAGGTTATAATAAATTGAAGTAGGATAAACCATGGTTTGAAGAAGGATGCTCGAAATTGTTAGATCAAAGGAAAGAAGCCAATTTGCAGTGCAGAACCTGAGCTGAATCTGAATAATATAAGGCTTGAAGTCAGCAGGCATTTCAGGAACAAAAAGGGGGAACATCTGAAAGTCAAAATTAATGAGCTTGCAATGAATAATAAGAACAAGAATAAGAACAAGAATATTAGAGACCTGTATACAGGAATAAATAAATTTAAGAAGGGTTACCAGCGTAGAAATAATTTAGTAAAGGGTGAGAATGGTGATCTGCTTGCAGATCCCCACAAAATTTTGAATAGACGGGAGAAAGAACTGCCTCTCTCAGTTATTGAATGCACATAGAGTCAGTAATGTTAAGCAGAGTCTTTGTAAGTTACACTTGCTATTGTAAAGGTGAAAAGGTATAAATCGCCAGGTAGTGATCAAATTCTGGCAGAAATGAATTAAGCATGAGGTTAAATATTACGTTCTAAGATCCATAAGCTAATTCATTCTATTTGATATAAGGAAAAATTGCCTGATCAGTGGAAGGGTCTATTATTGTACCAGTTCATAAGAAGGGTGAAAAAACTGACTGCAGTAACTATCATGGGATATCACTGCTATCAACTTCATACAAAATTTTATCCAATATTCTTCTTCCAAGGTTAATTCCACATATAGATGAAATTATTAGGGATCATCAGTGTGGGTTTTGACATAACAGATCAAATACTGATTAGATTTTTTCTTGCATTCTTCAGATGCTGGAGAAACAATTGGAACACAATGAGACAGTACATCAGCTATTTGTAGACTTCAAGAAAGCCTATGATTCAGTTAGGACAGAAGTATTGTGCAGTATTCTCATAGAGTTGGGGGTACCCATGTAACAAGTCAGGCTGATTAAAATGTGTTTAAACAAAACATATGGTAAAGTCCATATAGGTAAACGTTTGTCTGATAATTTCTCTATCCAGAATGGTCTAAAACAAGGAGATGCTTTATCGCCACTCCTTTTCAACTTTGCTTTAGAATATGCCATTAGAAGGGTCCAGGAAACCAGGTTGGACTGAAATTAAATGGGACATATCAGCTGTCCGTCTATGCCAGTGATGTGAATCTACTGGGTGATAATATATACTATGTAGATGCTATAAAGAGAAACACACCAACTTTAATTGACACTAGTAAGGAGGTTGGCCTAGAAGTAAACACAGAGAAAACTAAGTATATGTTACTGTCTCATCACCAAAATGCAGGGCAAAATCATGATATAAAGACAGGAAACAGATGTTTTGGAAATGTGGCAGAGTTCAGATATTTGGGAACGACGATAACAAATCAAAACCTTATTCAGAAGGAAATTAAGAGGTGATTGAACTCGGGTAATGCTTGCTACCATTCAGTCCAGAACCTTTTGTCTTCTCATCAGCTGTCCAAAAACATAAAAATTAGAATACACAAAACTATATACATAATTTTGTCTGTGGTTCTGTATCTGCGTGAAACTTGGTCTCTGACATTAAGGGAGGAACATAGACTGAGGGCGTTTGAGAACAGGGTGTTGAGAATATTTTGGACCGAAGAAAGATGAAGTGACAGGAGGTTGGAGAAAACTGCATAATGAGGAGCTTCATAATTTGTACTCTTCTCCGAGTATAATTAAAATGATGATGTCAAGGAGGATGAGATGGTCAGGGCAGGTAGCACAAATGATGGAGAAGAGGAATGCATATAGGATATTGGTGGGAAAGCCTGATGGAAAGAGAAAGAGACCACTGGGAAGACCAAGGCATAGGTGGGTGAACAAATTAAAATGGATCTTAGAAAGATAGGATAGGATGGTATGGATTGAATTGATCTGGCTCAGGATAGGGACCAGTGGAGTGCTCTTGTGAACACGCTAATGAACCTTTGGGTTCCAAAAAATTCTGGGAAGTTCTTGAGTTGCTGCATAACTGGGGGCTTCTCAAGAAGGGCTCAGCTCCATGGAGTTAGTTATTAGAAATACAGGAACATATGAAGGTATGTATTTGAATAGCAGTTTGTGAATATCTGTGAATGTTCTCTTGGTATGGGTCTCTTAAGTTGCCAAGGAACTGTGACTATTATAAATTTCAGCTCGTCTTACTAAACATAAATTCGTATTGAAGAAGTATGTACCATAAGGTCTACTAAAAATGCTGTCACGAGAAAAGTTGAGATTTGAAGGGTAGCTGCGTCTCTTAGCTTCTCCTGCTTTTGATACGTCAACTGCCCAGCTTCTCCGTTGGCGCATTTTTTCGTTTTCATGATTGTATAACAGTTATGTCTGTAGTGGAGGAGGAAGAATTAAGTGAAAACACTCATTTTGACACAGTCTTAGCAAATACGAGGCAACAAAGCAGTTCAAATATAGGTAAAGGTGTTCTCACTGGATACACTGTACTGAGAGGTTTACCTTTGTTCCTTCAACCGAATGATGGGATATTTTTTTTATTGCTAGTGGGGTGGGACTAAGTCCCTTGTACTGCTGCCACTTCTGGCCTATTGTACCAACCCCAGATGATAGGTGAGGGTGATTGTGGAGCAATTGGTGGAATGAAGATTGGCAGGGGAAACCGAATTACTCTGAGAAAACCTGCCCCAGCGCCACTTTCTCCACCACAAATCCCACTTGACCAGACCCGGGATCGAACCCGGGCTGCCGCGATGGGAATCCAGCGACTAACCGCTTGAGCTATGGCGCGGTCTATGATGGGGTATTACTTACCAGCAAATTAAAGCCTCTTCTACCCCAAGCCCTTTCCGTCTCATAGCACATGAATATCATCGTATTTACTTCGATGATCTCTGTAATTAATTCAGCGTTGTCAAATAATTTATGAACCAATTTTAAATACTGCAGAACTATCAGAGACCACGGTTTCGTCAAGTGAGTAGAATATTCATGAAGTCACAAAGATACCGAAATTAACATTATAAACAAAAACACAAGCATACGACGATACAAAAAGTGTCAATGTAAATAGAACTCCAGTGTTAATTTTGGCCGTCCCTGTGTCACTGCCCTCCACAGTTCACTGTTTTCATTCTGTTACAAAATATTTTATATGAAACTGTTTGCTTTGGATATTTCGTATTTATTCCAGTTCTATGTTGGTTTTAAGAATGGAATAATTTATGGAACACCGTATGAAGTTATTGTTTCATGGTGATTGGCAGAGACAAGGGAACGCCTTGGGGAACAGAAAGGCAGAGATATACAGTCAAACCCCTACCCCCCAGAGCTATGACGTGGAATTTTTCAGATTTGACAAGTTAGATCAGTTGTCTTTCCTTCATCGTGGTGTTAACAGTGCCATGATGTATTTCCTCGGTTTATTAATTTGTTTTATAGTGGTGTCCTTAAGAGTCAATATTTTTTATTCCAAATTTTTCACATTAACTGTTAATTGAAAAATAGAAAACTGAACCCCCGACACCACTGTTCTCCTAATCTGAAGTGCTAGAAGTAGGACGAACCTGGAACTCAAACTTCATTTGAAGTGAATTGCCGGGAGCTGTGGGGTAAATTATACGTGAAGTAAGGAAAAGATGACGGTAGTTATATAAAGATGGAACACTTTACATAATAGTGACCATGAACTTGTGCCTTTTGACACGACATCCATTACGTCATTAACTACCAGAATTAACGCAATATTATTAGCGTTTTTCTATACCTGTAAAAATAATAAATAAAAATCGTGCAAGTACGGCCGAATATGAGGACAGGTATTTTTGTAACTTACGTAATATAACAACGGAAGTCTGTGCAGATGGTGTGATTATGATATTGTATCAATCGCGTAATCGCCGGCCACGATAGCCGAGCGGTCTAAGGCATGTACTGTCTTCGCTCGCTTGAAACCGGGATCGTGGGTTCGAATCCCACTCAGGGCATAGATGTTTAGTTTGTGTGTGCGCGTTTTTCTGTGTTTGTGTACAGGTAGAGGCCTTGCGACGAGCTGATCACCCGCCCAAGGAGTCCTACCGAATGTGTAAGATCTAGAAAAACCGAAGTGAACGGAGAAGTTCATGGAGGTAGGCCTAGGCCCACTGGGGCTGTAGTGCCAAGAAAAAAAAAAAGTTGATACATAATATGTGCACGACACCAAATATTATTATGATGGTCAAATCACTGAGGGTGAGGTAGGGCTTATCGCTGGAAATGCGTAAGAAATTTTATTCAGGGCGAAATTAAAAGTCTTTAAAGTTGAGGCCCTGGCATATCAATGCAATGACTTCGCTGTTAGGCTTAAAATAAAATCGTAATTTAGAATCCTGTTTTTGACAGACGATTGGCATTTCCATGTAGGAGATCAGCGAGATTAGGAAATTCGTACAGATAACCACTTCTCAGGAATGTTACCTTGTAACACCTTATAAAACGGCTAACGAAAATATAGACCCCGCAGAGGGAGCCTTCGTGTTTGAGATTACGCAATAGGACGCTATACACGTGCGTGTCCTAAAGAACTACGCAGTCTCTTTCGGTACTGTTCTTCCCCACGCTTTGTTTATATTCTTACAGCATTACCATATAACGCATGCCTGTTTTTCCAACCTACCAAAACCGCTGATTAAGGATGTTATAATCATTATTATTGCTGCTCGCTCTAGAACTTGGCCCTGAAAGAGCAAAATAAAAACATCACACAAAAAAAGTCAATAATTGGATTTCAAGGAGTTGTTGAACTTTGTTGTCCTTGAAGAAAGGCCACGAGCTGTGGACAAATTTTGAGTGCTGTTGTAGAATGGAATATTCCGTTTGAATAGAATAAAAGTGAATTTATATCTTCAGAACTTCTGGATAGGTTCGAAGAGCTTCACAGGTTTTGTAAGCAGTTAGTATGTTAGGTCAATGAATATGGTATGCACAGAAGATTGCAGTTGTATATTCTACCTGAATGTTAGTATGCTTGTATTTGTTGTCCGTGGAACTGGAATAGCTCAGTCTGAGTAGTGACCAACCTTCCAGCTGTATGACGTGAAGCGTGGATTAGATTCCCGGAAGGGGCCAGAGATTTTTTTTTCTTCTATCAAGCGTTCAGATTGGCTCTGGGACCCATTTGGCCTCTTAACATGTGAGTACCGGAAGTTCTTTACCAGGAGTTACGGTGACCGGGGTGTGAAACTAACCACTTCTTATAATGCCGTGGTTAAGAATGCGTGGAGCTGTATTTCAACCAACCATGTATCGTCATGAGTGGTGCTTACTTAAGCACATGGACAACTTTAGACCCTACCGCCTAATCTGCAACTCTAAAAACACTGTGCAGTTAGAATGTAGAATTTCGGTCCCGTTCACCTGTTCACAGTCCTGAGACTCTTACGGCATAGAACGTATTTGTATGGAATACATGTACATTTGACAATAAGTAAGTCAAATACATTTGGAGACATATATGTATTGTCGCTTTCAAACTAATACAAGTCTTCAAACTGAAGATGTGGAACGCAGTTTTACATCTACAATTTAAACATATTACATGTAGAAGCCTGTTCTCAGGTTACAGTAATCACCAATGTCAAAGAGTTTTAAAATGGAGACTTACATCAGTTAGAAACTTTTAATTCCTGTTTGTTAGAGTCGCCAAAATGCAGGATAACTGATTTGTAATTTCGATTTCTTGGAGATTCTGTATAATGCAAAGTTACCTATTTCTTTGAGTACCGTCAATTTCGAAACTCTGATACTTGTTCAGTTTTTATTATTGCTAGTGGGGTGGAACTAAGTCCCTTGTACTGCGGCCACTTCTGGCCTATTGTACCAGCCCCAGATGATAGATGAGGGTAATTGTGGAGCAATTGGTGGAATGAAGATTGGCAGGGGAAACCGAAGTACTCGGAGAAAACCTGCCCCAGCGCCACTTTGTCCACCACAAATCCCACTTGACCAGACCCAGGATCGAACCCGGGTCGCCGCTGCCAGCGACTAACCGCTTCAGCTATGGCGCGGCCTATTTGTTCAGTTAGTCAAGAAATTCCCCGACGTTTATAGTTACGAAACTTGAAAGTGCATTACCATATGCACAAGAGTCCGCCACTCTTCCAAATTCTGGGCCAAATTGATCCAGTTCACACCCTCCCACTCTATCTTTAAGATCCATTTCCATAGAATTCTGTCATCTACGCATAGGTCTCCCAGTTGACCTCTTTTCTTCCAGTTCTCCAACAAAAATCTGTACACATTTAACTTACTTCATACTTTTAATCATGAATGCAGCGATATGAAGTGTGAATTGCAACAAGGAAACCATCGTGGGCTCTTTTATTATATTAAACGCGTTCACATCACTTCAGCCCCCAAATGAGGGTGGAAGTCTTCCTTCAGAACAATTGCCATTGAAAACGCTTCTACAGTGTAGTATATACTCTCTAAACATTCTTGCTCAATGGCTGCTTGTCCTTGACACATATACGAATCGTACACTGATGTAGATGACACAACATTTACCGGTACTTTTCGGATTCTGAGAATGAATAGTGGATAAAATACTCTGGCGCAATAATGATTGTACCTCGACATGTTGTCGAAGAAACCCTGTCACCTGTAAGTTTTATAATTAAACAGTCCGTTAAAGTGAAACTGAAGATAAGATCTGGACAAGTCTCCAGTTCTTCCACGGTCTCATTCATATGTTAATGCAGTCATTACCACACGATACACGTGGAAATACACACTGCCTTCTCCAGGTGAAGGAAAACAATTGAACTCACATGACGAGTGACCTCCATCTAAGCAAAATTCATTGACATGTCTTAGACATTAAAAAAATTACGAGCTATTCTGTTGTTTAGTCACGTTGGCGTAATTACTGTGGATTGAATTGGCAAATTAACGTTGCTATAGTCGGCACCCTAGACTTATCAGAAGATGCGACATTACTGACTGAAAGAGGACAAAACCATAGAAAGGAACTGGTTATTTAAGTTCCATTCATAAGGGAAAATGTGGCCGAGACACAGTTCCCAGAGTATTGGGTTAAGTTTGCCGTCATTTGTAAAGCATAGCGCGTAGGCTCCCGTTCCCGCTCATATACACAGCGTAATTCACGCACAAGCTCACCATACTGTGATTCCCTACTAATAAAAGAGTCGCAAATATTGTATAGCGTAGGTCCTGTAATGTTTAGTTTTCAAAACGCACGTCACCGTCAAATGGCGCAAGCAATGGGCGCTTCATAGTTACAATAATTGTTCCTAGCAGCATCTGTCTAGTTCAAGCCAGACGGCAGTACACCACAGAGCATTCTCTGAAATACGCCTTAACATGTTTGTATCGACCGTTGTCATAGTTGTCTGAAGTCTCGCCACGAGATTTTCGATAGTCCAGGGAGGTACTCTTGCTCGTTCACGTGTTGCCACAAGAAAATATCCATCGGAGTTAGATTCGGCGATCAAGGAGGCCATGCAATCCGAACTCGACGTCCGTTCCACCTTCTTGGATGCGTTCAACCACCGTCGGGCATTTTTTCCCACAGTGCGCTGGAGCTCCGTCATGCTGCAACCACAGCCTTTGCCTCATAGCTAGGGACACATTTTTTAATAGTCCCGATAAATAGTTTCCAGAAAATCACGATGTAGCTGAGCAGTTAGCATCTCAGGTAGCGGATAGGGGACCACAACAGCGTCCCTGGTGATTCTAGATAGCCTAGACGCTGACGATGGAGCGGGATGCATACCCACGTTCGCGGATAGCATGAGGATTATCCCGTACTAGAGAAGACTGTTGTGGACGTTGAATACACCCTCACGGGCAAAACATGCTTCGTTTGTCCACAGAATGGCGTCCGTGGAGAACGATCTTATGGTAACATGCGTGCGCTCGGTGAATAATGGTATGGATGCAATTGATCATTATGATGTACGTAGTTCGGGGTTCCTCGGTGGGAAAGTCCCAATTCTCGTGCCTTCTTCACGGCTCTCTCCACAGCTGTAATTATGACATCTTTGGCTGGTGTCCGTACAGTCTGTAGACGACCTGCAGTCACTTCCTATCTCATGGAGACGTTGCTCCAATCGTCGAAACACGTTAGCACCTGCATGACCTCTATTATGATAACGCGGAGCGTATTCCCTTGAAGCGGTATCAGCTCAACAGTTACCAAGGTTAAAAGCATATTGCAGTATTCGTCGTGTATGAATTTCATGATCATTCTATCACAACTGACACCTAATTAGCACGCGTCTTGATTACCTAACAACGCGCTATGTATCGTCATGACAACACTGTTGTTACCCCATTTAACAATTAAGCGTCTCGAAAAATAAATTTTCAGGAAGTGTGTTGTACAAAATTATTTAATTGTTTTCTAACAAGGAATCACGCTATGGAAAGTCTGTGAACGAATCAAGTTTCATACTGTGTATTTATTCAACTGCCTGTTTTAGTTGATAACTTTTGTATTATTATTTCCTTGCACGACTTAAACAATGGAAAATGGGAATGAGATTTGACACTTTGAAGTTAAGGAGTTCCTGTAAGTCATGTTCATTGAAAAATTAGTAAGCATTTATATTTATATCTTTGCCTGTGGTTTCAAGCTCAGACAACCTAGTTCTACCTTAAGAAAATTGTAAATTTTAATTTCACACATTCTCAAAGTAATCTGCTGCACATTATTGCAGAATAATAAATACTAATAAAAAGGTTAATAGAAAACTGATTTGTAGTTAAATGGATTAAGACAGTTCATGATTCCATTGTTATTTTTGTTTTCTTAAATGTTTTTGCTGAAAGTTGCCTCTTAAAATTATATGTGTAATTCTTTTCAAAGTATTTCAATTTTTGTGGGTAAAATGTCTTCTGGAAATATCACCCTCCACCATAGCCATGTGAGTATAAGATGATGAAAAGAGAACCTAGTGCCCGTAGGTATAATGGGGCTATCCTGTCACTTGGGAACATAAATACAGGGACCTGGTCCTCCAGGTTGGGTTGGACACAAGGCTGACAACCTTGCTCTATAAAAAAATCAGCCATTGCAAAAACAACGATCACACAAAACAGTTGTCACTATAAACTCTGCCGAAACTAGTCCTTACCTTCTGAAGCAACGGTAGGTGGCTTATCGACTCAGGAATGTTAGCTCTATGCGCTCATAGCGGCAAAACGCGGTACTACAAAAGCTCTGCCCACAAAAAAATTAGTTCGGTTTCTTTTGGGTACCCCATCGTATGTCATCAACATACCCATAATATGCAATTATTTCATGTTTTTTCAGGACTGGGTATATATGTTCATGTTCCATAAGTGAGTAAGTAAAGGTATCCCTGTAACAGGCCGTGAAGGCCCACAGGGTTGTGAGATGCTGAGGTTCCCACATTTTCTAGACAATCAGCTCACAGATGGTGGCAAGGTTGTCAGCCCTACGTGCCGGCCGCCCTTTACACTCCAAGAACATTCCAAAAATATTCCTGGTACCCATTTCTGTTAGAGGCTTCATGGACCCCAGAGCCATGGTGTGGCTCAAAGGATTAGATCTATTGAAAAATCCAATATCCTCATCGGGACTTGAACCCACTGTACATTTATCATTACTGGTGATGTCTTGCATTATTGTAGTGATGTGCATTTATGTGATCTAGCTGATCTAGTGTTGCACTTCTGGGTACTAATATTATTACGCCTGATTAAAATGTGACCACCAGCCCTGCAGTACCAGAAGATTTAAAATCTATATTTCTTGACAGTGAACTTGGCTAAATCCGCCAGCCAACCTCGTGGTGCTGGGAGATTTAAAGTCTCCTTTCCCCCCCCCGCTTCAGAGTTGAAAGCACTGTGTCTTATAACTGTATCTGCTTGCCTCTTCTGTACACTACCATACTGTGTATGCATTAAAATGGATTTCAGAAGTCATAGTTGTTGCATAATTTGCACATGAGTTTGACATGATTTCAACATGAATATGAAGTACATGATCTTACAGGCAGTGTTTTCTGGTTTTATGAACACTAGAACCACATACAAGTGTTGTAGGACAGTATATGCCAAGCAGAGTAATGCCATATTTTTCAAAATTTAGCCCTCTTACAACATGGAGCAGATGCCAATGTTCGCAACGCTGAAGGCAAAACTGCATTGGAACTGGCAGATGCTGCAACAAGGCCTGTGCTCACTGGAGATCATCGGAAAGAAGAACTGCTTGAAGCAGCTAGATCTGGAGCTGAGGATCGCTTGCTTACCGTGCTGAACCCGCTGAATGTCAACTGTCATGCTAGTGATGGCCGTCGCTCAACTCCTCTGCATCTTGCAGCAGGATACAACCGTAATCGAGTGGTACAGTTATTGCTGCAGCATGGGGCAGATGTCCATGCAAAAGACAAGGGGTGAGGATTTTGATTCCTATAGAATATTTTTTACCAAGATCAATTTGGAATGCATTGGCTGTATCTTTAATGTTGATGTTATACATTATATGCATAATTGTAATACTATTGATTGATTTTACAAATTGTCAGAACTAAACAATATCTGAATTTAAGGTTCATATCTGTCTGTGTTTCCAAGAGCTACATAAGGGATAGTAGGAGCTGTGGTAGCATAATCGGTATAGCCACTGGCTATGGGCTGGACGACCGAGGGTTTGGAGTTCAAGTCCCAGTAGGGTCAAGAATTTTCTCTTCTCCATGTCATCCAGACCAGTTCTGGGGTCCACCCAAGCTCCTAGCCAATAGGTACTGGGGGCTCTTTCCCCAGGGGTAAAGCAGTACTGTAATACTGTACCTTCATAATACTATAGGCCTACCTGTATTTAAATTTACTCAACCTCGTTTTATGTCATCTCATGGCCTATGTAATACTTTTTTACATTACACAGAAGTATGAATTAGTTATTTCAATCACAGTGTTCAACAACATCCAACACTTTTTACGAATATTCACACTTAACACTTAAAAAAATTTAATATTGTCGTTTGCTTTTTTGCTGCATTTTCCTTTTTACGGATATCCGTACGAAGCCCACGTACTATTAGCTTGTCACTCTTCACTCTCAAGATAGTCTAGTAAGGATTCCAAATGATTAAGAGCAGCACCATGTGATATTTTCTTACTAGCAGCAGCATCCACATCTTCCTCATTCTCACTTTCTTCCCGCTCTTCTAGCTGCACCCCCACTGCTTAACATTTTGAAGCCCGGTTCACACAAGTTTCTGTTCAATACTTATCACAACACGCTTCCTTTTACACCCTGACATTTTGCTAATGCACTTGAGGATCGATACAAAGAGACTAACTCGGGCGGTCTATCTGTCCTTGAAACTTTCCACAAATCCTTGCATTCTTTCACCCCTACCCTACAACACTGTGTTAGCATAACGGGACCAAAAAATGCAGAGCTCGATTCACACTAGTGCGAAAAGAGTGTTACAACTCACCATGTGAAACAAAAGTGAATGAATATTAAACAACATACAAGCCTCAAAAAAGCCCCGGTTAAGCCGCAAACTGGTTTATCTGCCCCCGGATAATCGAGAGTTGAGTGTATGTGCAAAATAAAAATAACGAGTTTTGTGCAAGGAGGAAAGAAAGAATTTAATATGCAGTGTACAATCAACACACACCTGATGATGAGCCTTGTAAGACCAAAACATGTCATGTAGTTTTTTTCAGTCGTTTACATTCCCTATAGAACGGACAATACTTTGTAAGATGAGGCACCGACTAAATAAATGACATTAAAAATACATCTACATCAAGAGTCTCCAATAACAGTTAATATATATACACAAAATACAGAATACTCAATTTGTCCATGGGAACACAACAAAATCACAAAAACCAACGACTGACTCGATGATGTAAAGCATCAATCGAAAAATTTTATTCTTGTTTTATATAATCTAATTTATTACATATTTATGCCAAGTATTTTAATATAATTAATATTATTGTATCAAATTTTATTAGTACTGCAGTTCAGTGGTTGTATATATGTTGGCCATGTATTTGCCTGATGATGGCTTTTAATAGCCGAAACATGTAGCAGAGCCAAACTAGGCACTGACCTTGATATAGTTCTGTTGTGATGGTTTTAATAAAGAAGTTGTATGTCGTGTAGTAACGCAAGGACATGCAATAAGATTGGTTAACCCAGGAACCACACAGAAAGCTGCACTGCATGCTGCGTTTGTATACATATACCTAGTAATGTATGTACATGAGTGAGTGAACATGCCTTCACAAAAATGAGAGGATTTAGAGTTATATTTTAAATAAATGATTCCCACAAACATGATAATTTAATATGAGCAATGGGTAATCATTTCTTAGAAAGTAAAAACTCTATAACCATAATTCTGGAAGCCTCTTCAAGTCAACACAAAGACCCTGATGAACAGTCTTCCATTAAATTCCATACATGGTCACGCACAGCAATCTCATCACACACTTCAAATAAAATATGGGAGTTCATGATACTTCTTAGGGGCAAGATGGACTGCATAACATTTTGAGCACTGTTTGCAAGTCTGCCACTGTAATTTGTGTTTTGTACAATTTACAATTTGAGAAAACTCTTTTGACTAGCAGATGTGTAACCAGCAGGTGCGTATTACCATCCCAACCATGGTGGTTGATTGATTTTATTCACTGGAACATATGTCAAATTCACTGGAATGTTGATTAAAGCGTATCTCCTCTGCAGCCTTTCCAAGGTTTTTCTAATCATGTATCTGCAGAAACAGAAAAACAAATTACATCATATGAGAATAAGTCAATAGGGTACAAGATAGAGGCAGCTGGTTCATCCAAAAAAAAATTGGTAATCATGTATGAGCCTACATGGACTCACATGACCACCTTTCACCAGCATAGAACTCTTAACATCTCAAATCAGAATATATTTTATTCTGATATTGGTTTACACAAATTCCTTCATAACTTATATGGAACAAAAATGTATCCTGGATATGAAAACACAACTCAAAATGAATTCTAGAGAAAGCGTCTTCAGCTTGGAAGGAACATTTTCAAATGTGTTTGGTATTTACATTCATCAGTATAATATGAAATATTGCAAGATTTTTATTACAAATGCTTTCTTTGGCAAAGGCACCATATGATTAAAATATGGTAAGATGTTCCCTTATATATATATGTATATATATTGTGGCATGTAGATCTGTTGGTAGGCAATGACTGTGAAACAAGCAACAGCTGTTGCTAGGCAACAGCTCCACCAAAAGACATCAAATCAACAATTTCAGGGCAAAAATTTCACTGCAACAAAGAAGCAGTGTTTTCTACACTCTCCAATCCGATATGTTATAAGCAGAATGAGTTAGTCAGAAGCAAACCCATCCCCTCATCAAGCAGGATGTTACATAAGAACTATGTCCACAAAGGTTCAGTTGGATAACAAATTTCTGGTTGTGAGCCTCAAGGGGCTTGGTGCCAAGACAAACTGATTGGTGGTAAACAGCCAGTCGTAAAGTAAATCTGAAAGTGGAGTCAGTCAGTGAAGAGTTCGTTGTGGAGTTAGTTAGTGAACTGTTGCTGTCAGAAGCTGGTAGCTGAGGCTGGGGACAGTAGTTCAGGAATCCAAAGAAGAAGGTAAACACCTGCCACTTGAAGCCGCTACCAAAAAACAGCTAGTGAAGACACGATTGTGGACACCACTGTGTGTGTAATAGTGAACTGTAGTCATGTCTGTATCAAAGAGTCAAATATATCTCATTACCAATCCAAAACCCATCTACAGTCACACTAAAATCACATGACAACTGGGATTGGATTGACTGAATTGTTGGATTGGAGACTGCAGTACATAGCTATGTCACCACACTATGAAGATGGAAGAAATACTGGCATGCCTGCCATGCAGAAAACGATGTAAGCGAAGATTGACGCCAATCAAGAAAAGATGCTGGGAAAGATGGTTGCCAATCAGGAAAGCCTGGAAGCAAAGATGGCCTCTCATCATGAGAAGTTGATGGCAAAAATGAAGGCCAGTCAAGAGAAGATAGAGGCCATGATGAAGGCCTGTCCTAGAAACGACTTGAGGCCACAGATTTGGAAGCAAATCCAGAAAAAACAGAGTCTGAGTCAGAGCATCAGGAAATACCTAAGCAAGAGGCCATGATGGAAACTATCAGAGCACTGGAGGGCCAGCATCTAGCTGTAGGGAGCTGCCAACAACTGAGGTAACAGATTCAGGGTGATGGTGGGTAAGTCGGTCATTGCCCACAGACAGAAGACCCGCTGTGCCATTCCTGCATGTCATAAGGGATGCAGTCATAAAGGACCAACGGAAGGTCCCAGAACACAACACTGGATTAAAGGACTGTGGAGCAAGATGACAGTTATGTCTGAGGAAGAAGGCATCCAGCAGAATCTTCAGGTAGACTGCTGAATTGTGGATCAAAGAGCAAATAGTCGGGTCTTCAACTGGGCTATGGGAGGTGGCTGGACATTGTGGAAGGGTTGGTCCCCCTCTAAAACAAAAGAAGAGATGCCTAAAGCACAGCCCTAGGGAAAGAACTAAGATGATGGTGGTACACCTGGACTGGCTTGCACCTTATCAAGGAACTGCTTGGGATGAGTGGCCTTGAGGAAGGAGCAGTCTGAGAGTAATCACCACAGGAAGCGAGCTACAGGGAAGGGAAGCGAGGTCGATCACAGCACAGCCCTCAGAAAAGAAGAAATTATAGTACACTTGTGAGCCATTCAGAATGAATATCCTTAAGGAGAGAGCAATACATCATGTAAACCTGTTGCTAAGCAATGGCTCTGCTAACAGATGTGAAAGCAACAATTCCACAGCAAGAGAGGAGCAGTGTTTTCTGCAGTCCATGCAGAGATGTCATAACTAGGACATGTTAGCCATCATTGTGGTGGCGAGGGCCAGCGGCAATTTAACAACCAGACAGCCAGTGGAGTGGAGTTAGTCAATGGAATCAGTGAAAAGTTGGTTGGTGAGTTAGTTAGAAGACTGATGGGGCTCAGTCATCATGAGCTGTTGCCGTTAGAAGCTGGTAACTGAGACCAGGAACAATTCAGGAACAACAGACAAAGTGGAATGTCCAGCACTGGAAGCAGCTATCAAGCAATGGCTAGTGAAGATATGACTGCGTACACAGTGTGTGCCTGAACTGTAAAGGGTAGTCACACAGTGTATCAAAGGGTCCAATAAATCTGAAAACCAATCCAAACTCCACCTATAGTCAGTCCATACATGTGACAATATTCTTGCCTATGAGAATCATAAATAAAAATGTTCAACACACTGATATATTGGGTTTTTGAACTTCATCCATCGTCCCGGTTTTTAAGGTAATTAATAAAAACACGACGTTTCGGAAACTGGATCTCTTTCCGTCCTGGTCCAGTGATTGAGGCTAGCTCTTTCTAACGAACCCAACAGAATAGGTGTTTTCCTTCACCTGAGGACGGAAAGAGATCCAATTTCCGAAACGTCGTGTTTTTATTAATTATCTTAAAAACCGGGATGATGGATGAAGTCCAAAAACCCAATATATCAGTATGTTATACACCATCATCAGAATCCTATAGTAAAAATGTTCAAAACTGCAACAGTAAAAAGGGTAGGCTTACAGAGGAATTGTGTCATAAAGCTTGTCTGTGGGTAATGTTTGAGCTTGTTATACTTGACAGAACTCAAAGTGAAAACTCATACAGAAGTGTAAATAACAAGGGCAAAGAAAAATTAGACTACTTCTGCTTTTGTTTTTCATTCTTTACCAGTGTATCATGAAACTCAAATTTCAAACAGGCATGCTACATATGGCAGACATTTATTCATTAATTTGTGATTTCTTTAAGAAGACTCTTGTAGTCTATGCTCAATCAGTTTCCAAGATGATCATGGAAACAGTTTCTCATGTATAACTGGAAATAACACCAGTCAATCTTTAGTAAAGTTTCTCTGACATGACATTTGACCTTTCTCATATGAAAAGAGGATTTCGTTCCCTGAAAAAATGTCACTTAGAAAGGAAAGCAGTCCACCACAGTAATGCAGAAAGACAATTCAGAGGGTAAAAGAAAACTTTATTCCCAAGCTGACAACTGCTTTTGCTACAAACCACACCTGGAAAGCATTTTATGAAGTTAATACTTTCATCATTCCTGGACCAAATGAACAGCTTGAATACACAGAGAATGTATCAGTTTTCAGTTTCTAATCCTACACACAAATTACATTTTAGTTTGGAGTTCATAATTCTGTCACGAGACACAGGCATCCATGCAACCCCTGCTTGTCTGTTGCACAGCTTGGGAATGACAGATGAAAATCAACATACCCATTTTTTCCCAAAAGAAATCCAGCTGGAATGTGAATTTCTCGAAATGTATTATCATCTGTCATTTCAATGTAAAATTCATCACTTTCAGGATCTTGGTTTGCTACAATTATTGCTCGTGCTCCAACTTCCTCTGCTTTGACAGTTTTGCTCAAGAATGAACACTCCCTGAAACATAATGGAATCCTTATTTTCTTCAGGCCTTTGATGATAATACATTATAGTTTTTGTATGTATCCAAATACAATACTTTACCAAACATGGAAATTCAATTAATCCACCAGCTAATCTTGGACAGAGAACCTATCAAACACTGTTCTCAATGTCCTGCCCCATTACCCAAGACTTGCATACATGCCCTTTGCTCATACAAATAACATCAGTACCATTCATACAATCAAAACAAAAACAAACTCTGTGGTTTTAGTCCGCAAGCGAACTATACTAATCAAGCGACTGCCACTTGTTGGAGAAGTTAGTGCCAACTTTAGCGAATAGAGGGTATCGTGTGGTCAGTGCAACGAATTCCGACAGCCATTAATTTCAGTTTCCTAGACCGGAGTCGCTATTTCCTTCAAATAGCTCCTCAATTATCCTCATAAGGCTGAGTGGACCCAATTCCAGACCCACTACCTCAGAAAATCTGGTAGTGATGGGAAATGAACCCAGACCTCTGGATCTCTAGCCAGGAACTCTGACCACTAGACCACAGAGGTGGTCTCCATTCATACAATCTCTGGTGTATTTTGATTTGGCAGCTTCATTTTCATACACAGGACACACAATATAATTCTGCCTTCACAGTGCAACCAAAATAAAAAAACCAACACAGGGATGGCAGGCAGTTGTTACATGCAGCAATAAAAGTAGGACACTTTGCAGTGTAGGGGTAAGATGCTGGCCATCTGTGCAGAAGGTGCCAGGTTTAAGAACACCTGAATCCAGTGTGGATTTTTCATTAACCTTCTCCCTGACTCACCTCTAAGTCAAACCTCTGTGTATGTGGGGAAGGCTATGCCCCATAATGGTTCACATCTCATTTAAAGTTCTAAATTTTCTCTGTCATCATCACCACCTCCCATCAAAGGAAACATGAAAATCCCACCTTATGAGTATTTGCATCTAAAATCTGGATTCCAACCTCCACTCCAGGAAGACTGGCAGAGACCAGCACAGCCAAAGACACATACATGATGCATGGCATGGTGAAAGCATGAGAAAAACGGGACTTAGTGACTCGTGGAAATCCAGAAAAAAAAAGTGGTGAAAAAAACATATATTAATGTATATTAGTTCTGGTACATTTTTTTTTGCAAGTGCCAAGTTAATCTCCTTTCTAATTTTTTTTTTCAGGGAAGTTCGCCAAAGATTGATTTTCACAGTATGGTATTCTCCTGTGTTTAGTTATACAGTTATATTTGAGAACAACATTTACTTACCCTCGTTCAACCAGTGCCACACTCCCTTCCAGTTCCTCTGCATTGTGTGGCCACCCACATCCACATGCAGGCTCCACAGGTACAAGAGGAATACCACGTCCAGAAAATGATTCATTCTGTGAATAAATGCATGTGACAAATCAAACACAGGATAAAGATCCATTAAACTTGTAAGGTTTACTTCCTGGCATAAACCAATGTGGAGCAAACTCTTAACAGATAAATCATTAACCTCTGTTCAACCAGAAAAGAAAGTGAGTTAACTGAAGAGTGCCAGCAAGCTCAATAACTCATTCCAGTATTTAATGACAGTGGTTTGCAGTAGGTTCTCTGAAAAACTGATATCCATCTACCGAACTATGTGGTGTCACATCCCAGAAAACCATAGTCCTAATAAATTTTTGTTATTCTTGTATCTTAAAAATATTTCTTTGTTAACTTACAAGTGGTACACCAAAATCTTTAGCAGGCCTGATTCTGTAGGTGTATCCCAGCTCCTCTGGTTCTGTGATTTCAAAGAATACATCTGCTCCAATGATATCTATACTTGAAACACCATCATAAGTATGTAAATTGTTGGCTGAAAAGGACATAATGATTATCAAATGAAAGTGAGAGTCTTCAGTTGTCATCCAGCCATATGAGACTGAATCTACATACACTTCATACGGTCCCCCTTCATTATGAGACAGACAGTCATTACATATATAACATAAGTGTTGTTACAAAAACCATTTGAGGGTCACTTTGGCAGTATAGTAATCAGCACACTTGAAAAGTGCATAAACAAAAGATTCCAGTTTTTATCATTTAATTGATTCTTTAGTTCACAATTTCTTCTTCTATGAACACTTTCTACAGTTGTATACAAGTTTCTCTGGAGTGGCAATTTATTTTCTTTTTGTGAGAAATTTGATAAAATTTCACACTTCTACTGAATAGGATAGTTTTGAACTAAAAGGCAGTAACAATCAGTGAAAACATTAAATATCTTTCTGCAAATGAAACTTCTGATTAATGTCCACAAGTTTTTTAGAAGCCAGATCGATTTTGTCACTCCAGTAACCTATTTATTGAATCATAACTGTAGTGACTAATGAAAACACTGTGGAGCACACTACATCGTACTCTACCTGGGATGATTATGGACTATAGTATAATAGCTGAGCAGGTAATGATGAAATGTTGGCCTTCTATTAGGCCGTGTGAAGGGGCTCGCCTTAAATGCATATTATAAATGTAAGTTAGCAAACATTATTTTATGCATATTGAAAGGAAACAAAAATCTGGTTGCCTACAAATGTTTATCCAGATACATATACATGTCAGCCAAGTTACTTTCTTCTTTTGGCTTATTTTGGACTTCACCCATCGTCTGGTATATAAAAGAAAGAAAAAGACAAAAAAAAAACACGACGTTTCGGGAAACTGGATCTGTCTCCGTCGTCAGGTGGATAGGGAAGGATAAACCTACTCAGCTGGGCCCCTTAGAAAGAGCTAGTCTCAATTAATCAAGTTACTTTCTTTATGTGTAAACCTTCTGGCATCATTTATTTCACGTATTTAATTTTACACTGAAATAGTTGAGTCCAACTCACGTCTTGTATGCAGAAAATTGTTTTAAAACACTCAAACGTTCAATTTTTTGTTTGCAATAACATTAAGGTAATCAATTTGCATAAACCATTAACACTGTCCGGTTTTCTTCCTCACAATTAACAATTATTTCAACTAACCTACAGTATTCACCATTGGTAGGAACTGTTGAAATAAGAAAACTCCAAGAAACAAAATATTCACATTGAAGCTCATGATGACAGCTGTTATGCTTGCAAAAGTATTCATTTTATTCTAGCAAAAATAACGCTTCACACACCACACTAGTTTCTAATCTCGATGTCATAAGTAATATAGACTGTATAAACCGATAACCCAATCCTCCTCGAACATTTCTGACCTTTCTGACGAACTAATAATATACGCTGATGTGGATATTTCATTTGTTTTCTATGTTAAGAGTAGCCAACATAGCCGTTTCTCAAAATCTTTACCTTTGTTCAGCACATGTCAGATGACCTGTCACTGACAATTATATTGTACGTTTTAAATATGAATGGTTTCTACGCTGATATGCTGTGTTATGTTACAATGTTAAAGACTAGTGAAGAAAGTAATATCTGTCGATTAATAATGAACGTAACGTTGTCCTTGTGTTTAGTTAATTAATTAAGTGGATGTATAAATTCACGTTTACTTGACTTCGGCACTAGTTGGAGGTGAGTGGTCAGCTTCACGCCCCGACCGCTTTACCCGTGGGGAAAGAGCGCCCGGTACCCGTTGAATAGGAGGCTGGGTGGGCTCTAGAGCCAGTCAGGACCGTCAGGACCGTCAGGACATGGATAAAATTTTTGGTCCTACCGGGACTCGAACTTCGACTCCTCGACCGTCAAGCCCGTAACCAGTCGCTATACCGCGCTATCCCGGCTGCTACCGATCAGTAATATCCGACAATATGTGTCTAAATTCCGCTACTCATAGTCTCGAAGACCTCGAATGACCTCGAAAAAGCACTCGTAAAAATTTGTAATATATAACTTTATAACGGAGAGTCTCGTACAATATCTGTGTGTGTGTGTGTGTGTATATGTGTCTCTCTCTCTCTCTCTCTCTTGAGCGGTCTCGAGATAGACCAATAACAAAAGGGGGTACAGTTTAGATTAGGCGGCCATGGGACAAAGTACACGAACCATCATAGGTTATGAACTTCTACCCCGAAGACAACCAATGGACAAAAACCAATACCATTTCGGTATTATATTTCAATATGGCGTAGACTGTTTTGCTGTCATGCGAAGACGCATGTTGGTAAACAAGTAATGTGTAACGTTATGTGGTCAGCACTATATAAAATCAGTTTATGAAAGGTAAATACAGGTGCTTCAATAACCCTTAAAGTTAACGTTAATCGGCTTGAAACGAACCAGGCTCTTGTGTTACAGTATAGTGTTAGCTACTGATAGAACTGAGATATAATAATTAACAAATTTGTTTTACCGTTATTCTGTTTCGGTATATGTTACACTTACACATACTCATTGCTGTTAAATTACATTTTGTTGTTGATGTCATTCTTTGTGCAGATGGATTGTGACGTAAGATAATGAATGCGGTTTAGTCAGAAACCATGAAGCGCGCAAGGAAAGAACTGATAAGTTTGGTGTTGATCGTACTGCTTTGGGTTCAAGAAAGTGAACTTTCGGAACAGTCCCTGTATTGCCCTTCACAGTGTGCATGCACCAAGGTTCGCTCTCGATCAGCAGGAGACTTCAAATTGAAATGTGGAGGTGGAGGTGGGAAGATCTTCTCAGTTGAAGAGTTGAATCTGCAAGACTTTCCAATGGATATATTTCATTTGTGAGTTCTAGGTCAAAGTAACAGCTTGTTAGTACAGACACCTTTATACGTGCCACTGAATTTGAAGTTTATTTACGTATAGTGGGAGCAACATAAGGTTTAGTCTTCTAAGTTGTAAGTTGTTTCCTTGTTAACTTGCCCTGAGATATTTCACGATTTTTTTTTCAGGGACCTTTCTGACAACAACATCACACACTTGCCACAGGAAGCATTCTCACATTTGCCATTGTTACAAGAACTGTGAGTAGCATTATGATGGGTAGACTTACTTACAGCTTGACATTTAAAAACCTTCATTATCATAAGAGATATACAGGGTTGTTTTTACTGAAGTTGATCTGTTCACGGCTCCACACTTACTGTCACTGATGCACTGCCGGCCATGAAGCATACGCGAATTTTGCCTATGACTCAGCATGCTGATAACATTTGGAATGAAAGGAAGTCCTTACCTTTCTTCACAAATCACAGGTGTTGAAAATGCTGTCCCTCTACATGTAGACATTCCTCGCGCTGGTGGAAGAGGTTTTGATTTACCTTCTGTATATTCTCTGCAGGAGTATTTGAAATTTCCCTTTGAATATTTTCTTTCAGTCCTTCTATTGAAAGGTGCAACTGCACTCCCCCTCTCACTCACCTTACACTTACTTCACTCCACTCACAGAGTTGGTTAAGGTGGACACAACTTCACTCACTGGGTTAAGGTGGACGCAGCTGCTCTCAATGAGTCACCTAACAATGACTCCGAAGAATTGGGCGCCACCTCACATTGGTGAACACTTGATCTTTCTCAGGGTCATTAAGTGGGCCTTGGCTCCAAGAACAGAGTCCACAAACCAAAGACAACATTCTCACAAATCTTCAACACTTTATTATACTTCACTTTTACATGGTTGAACTATATCTGAAACTATTATTTGATATAGTCCTTTGTTTTGGGCAAGGTGCGTGATACACGTCTTTGTTTGAGAACACGAATGTGTCTGTCTGACACAAAGAATTGTGTATGATATTAAAAGACTACCAAGGTGATGTCCTACCTAGTGACTAGCAGTCCTGATTGAGTTCTCGAGGAAGTCCTGAATTAATAACTACTTGTGAAGCTTACATCATACATCCCCAAGCAACGGGGGAACTCCAGAATTATAAAACTCAAGTCACGCCATATTGCGTCATCTGCTCTGTATATAGTGCATAGTGTAATATAACGCGTAATATATGTAATTTTACAAATTCACAATCGATTAAACCTTATAAAAATACAATGGTTATCACAAAATTAGTTGTATACATAAATTTGGTAAAGAATATTATTAAAAGGGAGTAATCGGTTATAAGGGTTACTGCTGTAAACTCTGTCCTTAACACAACCCCAGAAGAAACAATCACAAAGATCACTTCTCCTCAGTAAGCATTCAGTGCTTATGTTTAATTTTCTTGTCTTCCCGTTGTTCTAAGTTTACTCACCAAATTATGAAATTGTTTGTCTTGTGGGAACTCTTTCATCACAAAATTTATGTTGAAATTTCTGCTAACACTTTCCAGCAGATCCATATTTCACCTAGGTGTCATACATGTTGCTCTAAATTATTGTGAACTATGTTGTGCCAAACTGTTGACCAACATTAACTGGGAACAAATGGCTCATGGCGCTGATAACTACTGCCTACTGCTGAGAATTCATAAACTCCCATGCATGAGCCACATTTCCTGCCATGTAATGCAATGCTGTGTAGAGGTCTTCTAGTTAATTATTTTGCTTCATTTCAAACATTATTGGCCATCAAGTATACTGAATCATCAACAAAATTCACCTGCGCTTAGTGGCCAGTGACGGCCGGTAGTGGTGATGCTTCGAGCCATGAACACATCAATAATTTTACAAATTTCCCTGTATTAATAGTTTCATGGATGCTTTGTAGTGTAATAGTAGAACTCCAAAATATATGTCATTGGCACTTCTTCAGTATTGTACAGAATTCCATTTGAAAAATATTGGTATTTGTTATGTCCATTTTTATACAACAAAAGCTTCCATATTTAACCATTATCACTCTGCTGTCTGTGGTGTTCTTTCCTAATAATTTTTGTCAGATATCAAGCAGTTATTTTGTTTCTGTTTTCTATGTTTTACATACTGTGGAGTATAGATGGTGATGCAACTAAACTAAACAAATTGTTACAGCCATCCCTTACAATACTTTGAGTTGTGTATTGGTACCTTTTATGTTCTCTGCAACCATGAACAAGTGTAAAGATAGACTCTTTTGTATGTTAACAGAAAATAAATTATATCTATAGAGGAAGCAGGTGGAATTTTGCGTGGAATGTCAGTGTTTAGATTAGAAGATGATACAATATTTTTAGATTGGTGTGCTGTTTATTTAATGATTTAAATATTTTTTATGGTGTGGAAAATTAATTAATGAAATTTTCTCTTGCAGGAATTTAAGCAGAAGCCATATCCATGTAGTTGATAATGAAGCATTTGCAAATTTAACAAATTTGAAAAGGCTGTAAGTTAATAACACATTCAGAAAGCGCAGTTACTGTATTGGTGTCAGATTACAGATCCTGTGAACAAGAAACATGCTTTTAAAATGTTCTTTGTTACAGAGATATGTATGGCAACAGGCTGAAGGTTATTAATGCATTGATGTTTGTGGGACTAGAAAGTTTAGAGAAGTTGTAAGTGCACATTTTCATCAGTTGTTATGTTTGTCAAACCTGAAGAGTTCTCTTTTAGGCTGTAACTGTATAGTCCACTGAAAGTGAGCTGATGTTTCAGAGGAACATGTGGCCTCCATCTTCAGAGTCGAAGAATAAGCCAAACCAGCATAGAGCAGGTGACATGTTCTTCTGAAACACTGCTTGTTTCTCAACAGACTATATGGCATTATATCTCTGAAGATAAAACTCTTCATAACCACTGCTGTGAGAACCTCAAATCATACATTCATCACACTTGTCAGTAGGAGCCACAGTAGTGCAGTCATTATAATGACTATAGTCCATTCGCGGAGACGAGACAGCGTAAACAAAGCAAGCCCCACGTTGCCACAGCTGACAGCAAGGAGTGGATNCTCTTCATAACCACTGCTGTGAGAACCTCAAATCATACATTCATCATACTTGGCAGTAGGAGCCACAGTAGTGCAGTCATTATGACTATAGTCCATTTGCGGAGACAAGACAGTTAGTGTAAACAAAGCAAGCCTCGCGTTGCCACACCTGACAGCAAGGAGTGGACAAAGTGCGCAGTTACTTCAGTGTACTCACTGCATTCGGACGCACGTTAACCTGTATTGAGACTGAAGAGTGAACTTTGGAAGCCCCTGCCACGGTACACTCATCACGTGATCTCTGCATGATTTCATTCAAAGAGCAAAGGAGATACCGCTTGCATTTGTTTACGAGGACTCTCTCGTCTCCGTGAATGGACTGTAGGCCGTGAACTGGACAACCGGGATTAAAGTCTTGGTGAGGACAGAGATTTCCTCATTTCCACCATATCCAGATGAACGCTGAGGCTCACCCAGTCTCCTGTCTGATGGTTATGAGGTGCTGTGTTATGGGTGTAATGTGACTGGAGTGAGAATCTGACCATTCCCTTTCATCTTGAAAGGTTTGGAGTGTTTGGTATATACCTCTACACTCTCCTGTTTATCTTCAGGTTCTAGTGCTTAGTTAAATGCACAAAAACCTTTTTGCCAACTTTATCTCTTTACTTGTCACTAGAGGTCTTGGTAGCTTGTGGGTTAAGCTGTTGGCCTTCCATTTGATCTTGAATTCAATTAGCTGGACCAACATTTCTTCCCTTGTAATGATGTTAAACTGTGAATGTGTCATATACCAGGCTCCCACCACGGATGTGTTTATACATTAAGCAGTAAGCCTGTTCGAGCAGTCATTAGTTTTCGTCTTCACTATCATCCCATTATTGGGGTCAAAATGGAAATCCTGCCCAGTAGATGCTCCCATTGAAATATGATTTCCTACTTTGTTATGCAGGTCAGGCAGTATGGTTAAAGACCATACTTGAAATTGTAAGCCACAGTGTTATAATACCACAGACGTGCAACCGTGGAGCTGAAAGCTTTGTTTTGCATGATTGATAAATATAGAAACCCAACATAAGTGATAACAGGTGTTGTGTCTCAAAAAGTTGTGGAAACTAAA